CTTTCGTCAAAGTTCTACTTGCATACGCTATCACGCGCTCTTTGTCATCTATTATCTGTGATAGCACAGCGCCTATTGACGTTCCACTTGCATCAGTGTCCAGAATAAACTGCTTGCTTACATCAGGTAATGCTAATATTGGCGCACTGATTAATCGATTGCGCAATATCTCAAAAGCTTCTTGCGTTTCTGTTGTCCTACCTTGCTCAGTTAACCGATGCAAGGGTTTTGCTATTGAGGCAAAGTCTCGAATAAAACGCCTGTAGTAGCTGCAAAGTCCCAAGAAAGATCAACTTCTTAAGACATTACTGAAACCGGCCATTCTGCATCTATCTTCTAGGATCAGTAGAAATACCCTCTTTTGATATGATATGCCCAAGGTATGAGACCTTCTCAGCAAATAGGTTGCATTTTTTAGCCTTTAGCTTCAGACCTGCCTGTTGCAATCGCCTGAACACTTCTCCAAGGTTTTCCAACATGTCCTCAAACGACTTTCCGACAACAATTATATCGTCAAGATACACCAAGCACTTGTCCCAATGAAGTCCTGCAAGTACTGTTTCCATGAGACGCTCAAAGGTAGCAGGTGCGCAACACAGACCAAAGGGCATAACTTTAAACTGATATAATCCTTTGCGTGTAACAAAAGCAGTTTTCTCCTTGTCAGCGTCTTCCATGCCAACTTGCCAATACCCACTGCTGAGATCAAGTGTGGAAAACATTGCATGTCCGGAAAGATGATCGAACGCTTCCTCTATTTTTGGGAGCGGATACGCATCTTTCACTGTAACCTCGTTCAATCGACGATAGTCAACGCAAAAGCGCATGGTTCCGTCCTTCTTGCGAACCAACACAACTGGCGAAGCCCATGGGCTCATTGAGGATTCAATGACACCCTTTTCTAGCATTTCGTCGACTTGTTTATCCACCTCTTGAGATAAATGGAGAGGTATCCGTCTAGCTGCTTGCTTAATAGGACGTGTAGTGTGCTCGGTAAATATTTTATGTTTCACTACATTGGTACGCCCTAAATCATAATTTCAGGTAGCAAACAAATCTTGGTGCTCACATAAAAATCTCTCTACTTTAGATAACTGCACAGAGGACAAATTTACTTTGCACCTGTCCAGCAGTTCTTTCAAATCACTGCGCAGTCCGAAAGTATTATTCACTTGCTCAGCAGGAGCCTTCTGCGCTTCAACTGCAGTCATTTTTGCAATGAAAGTGCCGTTGCGAATTTGTTGGACATCGTTTTTAACATTCAGGAGGCAAACAGGTACAGTATTATTTCCCTTAACTAAAGTTCGACCTACTAGAGCACGTCCACTCTCTAGAAACTTTCGCTCCGCTTCTACCAAGTAATCTGCACTGCCAAATTTGTTGTTTTCTCCTTGGACCTTTGCTTGAATAACTATTTCACTTCTTGGTGGAATGCATACATCTGAGCTTGCAGTAACTCTATAGCAACCTAACGTGCCTTCCCATGAAAATCGACATTCTTCATTATTCAATTTCAATGTGCTTGTCTGAAGATCAATTGCGCCATTACAAGCTTTTAAGAAATCAAGTCCAAGAATTCCATCGACAGTGATATCTGCTACTATCACTTCAGCATTATTCTTTGATTTCCCTTCTTGTATAACAAATTGACCTTTCCCATACTGACTAAGTCGTGATCCACCAGCATTCGTTATTATTTGTCCATTATCTACTAATCTAGGCTTGTCTGTCAACTGATCATATTTTTTCCTAGACAGTAAAGTTAAGGATGCGCCAGTATCAATCAAAAATTTACTTTTCATACCATTTACTTCAACATCTATGAAAATGCCTGTCTCTTCACATAAGTTGCTTGCCCCGACATTTCCATTTGTACGTTTAGATCTCTTCCGCCTTTGCCGCGTTCGAATTCGACGCGCATTTCCCTTTGCGGAATGATCACTGCGCTCATCAGTATTATTGTTTTTCTTCTTCAATTTAGGACAATTTCTACGAATGTGTCCTTCCTCTGAGCAATAATAGCATTTGATCTTTTCGCCCTTTCGTCTATTGCCAAATTTACGTTCCCCTGGAACATTTTGACTTATTCCACTGGATTTGTTCTCATCAATGCGCTTTTCTAATGAATCTAATTTCGTCTGAAGTGTCTGTATTAATTTATATAAATCTCTAGGATGTGATTCGTCTTCATTTGTAGACTTTGTGAAACTCACAACGTGACTGTGACCTCTCTTTTCAGTTTTGTAATAGGCATCCAACTCGACTGCCAAACGAATAGCTTCGTTTAGATTTTGAGGTCTGCTTTGTTTGATGTGCAAACGCATTTCAGAATCAGCTAACGCATCGATGAAAGCCTCTTTTCCTAGTGTTTCTCGCACTTCCATTGATACTGAGGAATAGGCCAAACTTGTGAGTCTTCTGATACTCTGTCCTAACTCTGACAAGGTCTCTGATGCTCTCTGGCGTCTCTCCTTTAACTGAGCGCGATACAGCTCCGTTTGGTTTGGCGGTGCAAATCTCTCCTCCAGTGCTTTAACCAACAACTCGTACTGCTGACCAGTCTCGGCAGAGACATTCCCAAGCACTCATTGAGCAGCACCTCGTAATGAGACGGCTAAATAGAGTCCTTTTTATCTGTTGGACCAATTATTAATTGCTGCGCAAGCATCAAAATGGGACTTGTAATCAATCCATGAATGACTTCCGTCAAACGTCGCAGGCTTTATGTTACATTTTGAAGCCTTTTCCTCTCTGCTATTTTCCTTTTGTATTAAGGAAGGGTTGTCTCTGGAGGGAACACTTTCTATCCTTTGCGCCCGACCCCCATGAGGTAATTCCTCATTTCTTATTTGCGCAGGAGGCCTTATTTCATTTTGCTCTTTCGATGGTTCTTGCAATTGCACACTCCGTGGAAGTTCAAACGGAGAATGCGCAAGAGTGTTACACAGCAAATGAACTGGATGCGGATGCGCTTTTGATATCAGGCGCGGCGTTTCACTGCTAGGCCGTGGCGCAATCGCTTCATACTGTTGCGCACTCGCAGTATTATCTGTTGTCAAGGGGGGTGTACTCGTCCCAGAAGCAGAATTTCGTTGCGCCGTTTTTCTTCTCATCGTAACACCATCTGCATCTTCTCCAAGATGGAACCCTTGTTGTGCGCTTCCACCAGCCATTGTCGCAATGCCTGAATCGCGCATGGGTCTATCTGTAGCAACTGGTGTAGACTGCTTTTTCAACTCAAGGCGCAATCGCTCACAACTCCTTTCGAGAAATGATATCTCCTCATTTATCATTTCCTCCATCGCACACGTTAATTTACAAAGGCAGATAAAACACAATTAAAAACTTGTCAATTTAAAATTTATATTACTTCGATTATTTGCCGAATCCCACCGCTGCCACCAAATTTATGTAACGTTTTCGGGTTCTTTTATGGGATTCGGCTGTTCTATCTGAACAATTAAAGAATAATCAAATTTCTCAATCACAAATTTAAATTAATAATATATACACTAACGCCTTCGTTTCTCGGGAGCGCGTGCGCCTTCCAAAGACTGAAGCGCGTCCGCTTCTTATCTTCAGTCAAAGTGTATCAAGGTACAATATAAAAACAAACCAAAGCCTCGAAAGTCTATTTCAGACACGTAAGACTTTATTTCACCAAGGTTTCCCTTGAAGTACCTACACCTTTGACTTCTGTTCTGGCGATCTTCTCTCATCAGCCGTCAACAACAGACTCTCTCATCAACCCAATTGTCTCCGTATTTATATACACTCCAGGTCACATGACCTGCGGAGAACCGAAGGGTACAAAAGAGACAGGAAGTTATCACAATGCAACTACCGAGAAACGAAAGGATTATTTGATCTGGATTACAGTTTCGCTTCATTGTGTTATCTCCTGTGCAAAAAGGAAGTGACGTAATTTGCATCATGGTATATGTGGTACGCTGTCTTGATTTATATAATCTTTTCGAAGGAATATTCCGCCTTAGAGTGCCCTGTTAGTTTAGTGCGGGGCTTTACCTTACTTCAAGACAACATTCGTTGGGGGGAGATCTGTATTCTATAATTTCCTATGTTAGAAACTCATGACACTTTGTTTTTGACTTCACAACTTTGTTAGGCTCCCTGGACCGATTACAAAGCATGTTGATTTTAAATTAAGTAATATGATTTCTAGCAAATCAGATAGAATTAAACTTCGCACGTGAGCAAAATTAATATTTTTATACATGATCATGTGCTCATTTTAAATTTCTTTAAAATATATAGCTTAAGAGAAATTGACATGGTCCGCGGACTTTTGGAACAGCAATTGAATAGGAACACGTCAATGGAGAAAATATTGAAATATCGTTCACCTGCTTCAAGTATATGAAAAATAAGTGGCTGGATTTTCAAACAATCGGAATCTTTAACAGTCAATTACAGTCCTGAAAGAGTAAAGCAATCTCAATTGTGACATTTATTTGTTTAAAACTCGTTACAAAGAAAGGGGAATACATGTAGTTTAGTCATGCAGAAGCGAATATTTTGAACAATATGCAAAATCTCTTTATAAGATGGAGGACCACTTTTAAGGTATAGAAATATCGAGGGGGGGGGGGGTTAAGTAATTCATCAGAACTTCTGAACAATTGAAAGCAAAGAGGTTTGTCTAAAAAAAAAACTCTAACAAGGAAACGGAAGAATTTTAAAAAAGAAAACTATCGAAATAGAATAAAGTGGGAGAGCACCCCATCCCCTTCTATTTTATTTGAAAAATTATATAAATATTATTTGGGTGCCTGTTTAAGAATACACCAGCATGAATGCATGATAAACCGAGAAGAAAGTCTGAAATTTCTGGACAGAGGATTGGAAATTAGTTGAGACAACAATGGGCCTTCGTAGGATCCTTCGGGTTCCAAAAGACCCCCTGAGTTGAACATTGAAAACCACGAAGCGTTTCGTCTTTCCTGTTCATCCGATTAGGGCTAATACACACCAAGGTTATATTTTATAAATACTTCTTTGAACTTTGTTTTTGATGGTGATTGAAACTGCTGAAAATGGCGAAAATGTCCATATATTGTTTTGTTGCTTTACTATTAGGGAATGCGCCTATTATTAATGGAGGTAAGAGTTGTAAATCGATAAGAGAGGAAATAACACGGGCAAGAAATTCTGAAGTTGAGTAAAAAAATTAATAATTTTTCTTAAAGTGATGCTCTTTTGGAAAATTTACTTAGTAATTAAATCAAATATCATAGATATATTACTAACCAATCAAAGGACTCAAAGGGTTTTATTTGCACAAGTATTGCACAACTGAAATAGCAATTACGACAAATGAAAGTATAAATGTGACACTTGTTATCACTTGAATGCTAAGAATTGCTAGATTATTGAGGCCTTGGATTGATTGCTTTTGAAGTGTTTGACATAGCTGATTTATATGCAATCTATTTTAATGCTGTTTACGCAGACAGCATAAAAGCAGCGTTTTGCTTAAAACACCTCTTATATAATTTTACAGTTTCTAATATCTTTAAAGATCAGACAGATTCTGTTTAAATACCTACCATAAACATTTCTGGTCCAAAAATCTTTCAAGAGTATTAAATCTTTTGTTCATATGTTAATAACTGAGCATTAATGGCTATACATGTGATCTTCTACCGGGCTGATGACGAACTTTCAATAAGTTGCACAAAGTGACATGTGATCTTCTACCGGGCTGATGACGAACTTTCAATAAGTTGCACAAAGTGGGCACGAAGCTTCGTTTTCAAGGATAGGGTGTAGAATCATAATTGTCAGCAACATACAAGAAACTTATTTTGAAAGAATAAAGAAATCAAAATTTCTCAAACTCGAAAGAACCTATTTCGAGGGGATGGGATGGGGTGAAGGTTCCATTTTTTGACAAGATTTTCTTATAGTGTTGCATTCACGGGCATGCACTTGATTACATTTCCGTAGGAGGTAATTATGTTCCCCAAACGAAGTTGGGGTACATATTGTTTTTACTCTGTTTCTTACTATTATTATTTTTCTTCCTGGGAAAATTTTGTCCGCGAGTGATCTTGTAAACTACACATCCAACTTAGGTGAAACCTTTTTAGGGTCAATAGACATGTTATGTAGATTTGCGGAACGAAGGTCATTTTGCGCGCACGTGCTTGCAAGAGCGCGCACGTGCAACACGTGAAATGATCAATGTAATGGATATTGCCGTAACTTTCCTATTTTTTGATGAAATGTTTTGAAACTCATAACGTAAAGATATATTAGTAGTATAAACAAGATGACATGGTCAAAATAGCAAGATCTCACGCACATGCACGTGTGCTTCGCTCTGATTGGCTGAAATTAAAGTCTCAATATCTTTCTTGTTTTCTGTCATAATCCTTTAAAATTTTGAACATAGTCATACATTATGGAGATCTACAGTTTGAATTATAAGAATTATCAAGAAAGCACGTGCGTGCACGTGTGCTGCAATCTGATTGGCTGAAGTTTTAAATTTCTATAACTTTCTTCGTTCTCAACAAAACGGGGTGAAATTTAAAATATGAATAGGTATAAAGGAATCCTACATTATGCTACTATTAAAATTGAATGCAAGGACGTGCATGCATGTGCGCATGCGCAAAATAAATATCATGCTTGAAAAATGGTAACATATTTTATATTTGTATTATTTTTTTTTTGATTCTCAGTATATAAAGATATGTTAATAATTTAGCCCACATGCCATGATCATTTTGCATATGTATGAATGTGCGCGCGCATGCAAAAGTTATATAATATAAAGTTGATATCATTGTAACGTTTTATTCTTAAATGAAATCCTTCGATACTGAGCAAATACAAAATAAGTCTAACATGAATAAGGTACAAAGAGGGATTTGGGGAGCGTTTGGGGAACATCTGTAACGGTCCCCGTTACAATTAACACTAGTTACACTGTATTTTCCACACTGCAACAAAAACCACAGGGGCTTGTGTAGATAAAATAAATCAGTTAAAAAAATTAGTACCTAGGAGAAAAAAACATTTTCTCCTAGGTACTAATTTTTTTAACTGATTTATTTTATCTACACAAGCCCCTGTGCAAAAACGGGGTAGATTTCAGTGAAAGTATCCTTGTCAGATTAACATCAAAACATTACTTTCGTGAAAAAGCAGCCCCCTCCCCCCGATACTTTGTGCCTGCACTGACAGACAAATTACATGTATTATTCAGCAGGCCACACTTGGTCATACGAAGAGGGATCAAACGGCCCATCCTCCTGGAAGTCTAGTTATCCCATCTGCGATGAACAGGCCCAGTCCCCCATTGATCTCCCTCCCATCGCAACTATGACGTATGATAGAAAACTGGTACCATTCCGGCTTCATGATTTCGATAAACCAGGCTCTACGTATAATCTGTCAATGAAAAACAACGGGCACACTGGTAAGTTCAACTCCACTCAAGTAAAATGGGATCTTATAAACGAAATACATGTTTAGTATATTAGTATTTATGGAACATAACTCTTCATTTATTATACTGAAAGAGATAATCCTGAGATAATTTTGACACTAGAAAAGATTCCATATTCTGTTTAGACACAAAAAGGGATATATGTTGGTAAACTAATTTTACGGATCAACAGATAAACGGGATTTGTAGATTTAGTACATGATAATTTTCACCGGAAGCTTTATCTAGTATAATTTATGAAATTCAAGGGTTAGAAGCATTATTGAGCCCGCATGAATTACTTAATAAATTTAGGTAGTTTAGCTTTTTTCTTAAAAAGTGAAAGTGGACTTAGAAGATAATGCCTCTGTGATGGTTTCCGGTGGAGGTTTGGTTCACTCCACCTACAAAGTGGCGCAGTTCCACTTCCACTGGGGTAGTAACAACACCAAAGGTTCGGAGCATACATACAACGGGATGTCCTATCCAATGGAGGTAAAATTTAAACTACAAATCATGAAATTAACGTCTTTGAACAACTGAGACTCAGAGTACTTGAAATAAAACACACGTTTCTATTTTCAGCTTCACATTGTGACGTACGACAGCCGTTATAATAACGTTAATGAGGCCGCCGACAAACACGCAGGACTGGCCGTTCTTGGTTTCTTCTTCGAAGTAAGTATGCCAGAAACTTATCCATTTATCAGGAATAGTTTATTCTTTAAACAGTTTAAATTTTAATTGCACGTTATTGATATTTCTGTTTGCATTTTATCGAAAAAAAATATTAAAATTGCAACGATAAATCATTTGTAATTAATCAGAATGATTTTTTATAGATAAATGACGACGCCAATTGTAATTATTCTCCGTTAGTGGAAGCCATGACGAACATAGAAGTTTACGACGGTATATATTTTACCTTACACTATAGTAACACATAACGAAAATGAACAATGAAATCAATATTAATATAAAAGGGGAAAAATTAAAAAATAAATTCCAAAATTCTTGCAGGGAACAGTTTTAAGTTTCCTGGTTTTAAGTTGCGCCATCTGATGCCGATGATGTTCGGTCAATACTTCCGGTACGAAGGCAGTTTAACCACGCCCCCTTGCTTTCAATCAGTACAGTGGACTGTCTTTTGGCAAAAGATTCCCATTTCTTCTGCTCAGGTAATCAGATGAAAGCAATTCAATAGATGTTTCTAATCACTGAGAAAATCGACAAAAAAGCTATAGATGTGCATGTCAAACATAACAAATATCAGGATGAAAACGAGTTAAGTAAATAATAAAAATCTAACTGTACAAAAGATATTTATAAGGTCGGTTCATGTTGCTAAATTTTACATTGCAGATGGAGAAGTTCAGAAAATTATATACAGATTCCAGCAAAGCTCACTCTTTGTCCAATAACTACAGACCTATACAGGCTCTGAACGGACGAACAATCCGGACCAACGTCAGACTTCCGGAGACTACTTCCGGTTCATCCAGTGTGTTCAACAACATTTTGTCATCCATTCTTGTTTTAATATCAGTGTCCAAGATTTGGGTTTGATAAATGAAATTTTTGAAATATTTTTAATATTTTAATTTAAGAGTGTTCGTTTACTGTTGCAATATAGTTCACAGAAAGACATCATATATAAAAAGATATCACTTAAGTTTTCATAAATAAGGTCAAGGGCTTTGAAATGTAGATCGCATTTACTGATAGGAAAACCAAAATAGGGCGAATTGATAATTATAAGTTATAAACGTATGCTAATGAGGAGTTTAATAATTATTTTGAGTCCTAGTTGCATTAAATTAAATTTATCGAGATATTACAGTAAGCTAGATTTCACTAAAAATGTTCTTTAATAGCTCAATAATGTATACTTTAATAAAAACGCAAAATATATGTATATTAAAGAATCATAAATTTTCAAGTTCGTTGACACTAGAATACTTATGATATTTGAGAACAGTTTAGTCATGACGACAGGTGCTATGGTGTACACAGCTAACATACCTTTAGATGATTTTTACAGACTGCTGTTGATTCCTTTATCCCTTAGATACAACTATTATGTACTCAAGCAGATGTAAAAATAATTGTTCGGTTTCTTTCTTTTCACTTTTTTTAAAGACCAAAAAAACAGTACTTGCGTAGTTATAATATACTTTTTTATGATATATATGTATGAATTTAAATCCTGTTTTTTATCTATTTTAGTTGAGAAAAGATATAAAGTACATGGGAAAATAATGCGTGTCTTCTTTTTCTTTTTTTTTTTAGTTAAAACATACGTTTTGCACTATTTTTGTAAAATATATCAGGATCATGAATTGTATGTAATACAATGAAAAGGGAAAAGATATAACGAAAAATAATCGATCTAAAAATTATCCTAAAAAATACACACATCTGTGGATATGACATGAACATGGACTCCTAGAAATTTCAAAGGTTGAACCAGGTGCCATGAAAAAGTAAGCATCCCCTGTTGATCTGTCACATCCGCCATAAGACCTTTGCATTGATAATGTAGACAGAACATTTCGTAGTCCAATTCAATATTAAAACAAATTAAAGACCTAAAAATTGTTGTTAAACAAATCGGCCAAAACACGTCCCGGTGATGGGTTACATATATTTGCTAACAAGGTCATTATATCGGCGACAGAATTTACGAAATGCTGGCTTCAAACCCTGTAACATCAACTTATATGTCAAAAGCATGTCAAGAATGGTATTTGCGGAATGCTCTCGACTATCCAATGGGAGATATAAACACCATCTGTAGGTGATAACATAAATAAAGAAGGTTGACGATGTAAAAGTTAAAGTCATCTCGACTGTCACTTTAATTGTTAGTTGGTCCTTACAATGCCTTCCAATGTTGACGAATCACACTACCAGTGCTTCAATCAGAAAGGAATGCCTTTTGTACATTTAAATGTGAGGTCCTTATTACCCAAAATTTCAGAGCTACGGATTTTTGCTACAAAATCGAAAGCCTCAGTCATAGAAGTTAGTGAGACATGGCTAGATCAATCAGTTTTTTGATGGGGAAATTAACATTGAAGGTTATCATATATTACGACGTGATAGGAATAGAACATGGGATGGTATTTGTTTATATATACACAACAAATATGCCTTCACCCAGCTGGAAGGTATAAACAACAATAAGGACCAAGAGTCAATCTGGGTTAATCTATTTTTACCAAAGACCGAACCAGTTCAGATTGGAGTGTGCTACAGACCACCTTGCCAGTCCAATTTTCTAGAATATTTTGAACAGTCTTCAAATGCTACGAAGCGACTGCTAAACCTACATTTTAGGAGATTCGAAGTCGTCAAAATGCGTCCGGCGACGTCATTTCCGGTCAAACCGGAAGTCGTCAGAAAATGCACATTTTTGCCATTCTTGACAAGTTTTTGGGGAACATATGTCACTGGAAGCATAAAACTTAATTTTCCGTCCGTCGACATCACTTCCGGTCAAACCGGAAGTAGCCAAAAATAGCTTATTTTTTAAGGTTTTGACGCAAAATTGAAATTATAAAGTCACTGGAGACGACTTAGCTCATTGCTTTCTTTTGTTGACGTTACTTCCGGTCAAAACAGGACAGAAGACTTACTCGTTGTTTTGCAACGAGCTTTGCTCTAGTTATTATTATTATTATCATTAGTTGTTTCAATTACAATTATGTGAATATTTGGTTTATATTCATACTACAATTCATTTTTAAGGATCTCTGTGTTGTCAACTTGATCCCATATCTTAGCTATAGTATTTATTTTTTTTTCTGTTTATTTTATCTAACATCCAATTAGTATAAGGACCCCATTGGAAATAAGCCATTGGCTTTCATGGGTTATCCTTGGTATACAAATGTAATGTCTATCATATATATATTCATGTCTTCCGAAAACTGATTGATTCCGATATTTTATCTTAATTCTATTGTTTAGTGCCAACTTTTATATCTATCATAAAATTATATTGTCAATAATGCATTGTAACAACGTATATGTAGTATACCAAATAAATATCTATCTATCTTAGCATCTATTTTCTGTTTAACATCTAAATATGAAACTTAAAGGATATGGCAGACACTGTGGTGTCTTGTACTTCAAGTTCACTGAGGAAAAGGTAACAAAGTGCGCGGTGATTTCTGGAAAAAGTTCCAAAAAATGGTATACATGAGGACAATGTAAAATATTTAAAATGCATGAATTCAGGTCATTTTGATTTACTTAAGTATTTATTTTTTATAATATAAAAGTAAAAACTATTTTCAATTTGGTTCTCAGCGACAAGGTTATCATTCTACTCAGTCCAAATTGATAAAAGGAAGGGTATACACTATATTAAACTTAAGATTACAGTTACAGTGGTCATTTTTTTTAAAAAAAATGGTGATGAAAATTATAGTAAAATTTCGCTGTCATCCTACTTATAATTTTAGCATGGCTTTGTCAATTCCAGAGAGCAATTTGCGTTTTAATGATAACAACCCTTTCCCCCACTTCAGTGAAATTCGAAAAGTAAGCGAGATAAATTCATTCCGTCATGCGTTATTTTCGTGTTCAGTCAATGTTTAATTTTGAAAATTACGTGAACAGAAATATATACCAAGCATGAAGGACAAAAGGTTGTCTATATAATGAGTCTGCAATGTTTTACCAATTCATCCGCGAAGGAATGTTTCCTTTGTGTTCCGAGATCGTAAATGCATTTCTGGGCCAGTGTTAAGTTTATAAGAAACAAGATATGTGTATTTAATTATTTTATTTTTTAAATTAAAATACATATATATCATTTTGATAACAAGAGGAAAATAATACAAGAACAAAGGAGGAAAAAACAGAATTGCAGTATTTGTTTTTCAATAATATTCAAAATAAAAGTAATTGAATATCAGGTAAAATGTCTATTTGCAATGGAGTCCTCTTCCTTGGTTCAAGGTCATTTGTAAATAGCAAGTAACAAAAAAAATCTAATAAAAAATATAAAGTACAAAAAACAAATTGCATACATAATTATCTACTCTAAATTTAAGATCTTCGTTAAAATTTTGTAATGTTTTCAATGTGATAAAAAATGGGTTTTATCTTAATAGAGCGAACAACTGAAAAATAATAAAGTTCAATAACCTTATCTTTAAAAAAGAATCAGATAAAAAAGGTTTAAAAAATTAACAAAGGTATGCGTTTACTGGTTACGCAATAATAAAAAAAATTAGGACACAGAAAAATATATGACTTCTTCTTATTGCATGTACTACTTAAGCCCAGTTAAGGGACACATTAAACCAGCTGTCCTTCAGAGGGGTTTACAGAAATTGTATCCATAAAGGAAAAATAATGATGTGTGAATAATCCGGGTTTAGTTTGAATTCTATGTATGTAAAAATCATGCTATACAATAGAACAACGAGGAAAATATATCGTTTAAAAAGTGGATTTTTTAAAGAAAAGAAGTCCTTTACAAAGAAGAAATGAAACCACCTAGAAGCCAAAATGTGGTCAGATGGCGTACAGTGCATTCTAGCCGTTTTAAAACATGTTTCATCGCCGGGCGACAGGTGCTTTTCTACTCAGCATAAAAACGCCCTTCAATGACCTTGCGCCGAAAAATCTAGGAGAGAGAGATTCTACAACTCTTTTTTTTGGGGGGGGGGTTAAATTCAAATTTACATTCGATTTCTAAAGTTACGACTTTCCAATTTTTAAAATATATAAAAAAAAAAAACGACCCTTAGTAGTGGCAATGAACTAATCGTGTTACCTGCATCAACTTTTTTGCGTTTCAACATCATAATGTCTGATCGTAAAATTAAAACGATATACACTTTTTAAAGATTTTTTTCCTACAGTTTTCATGTTATTTTTTATTTAGATGCTGCTTGCATCCCCTTTTATGTTTTTGTACGGTCAATCATATGCAAATTCCAGCATATAAAAAAAATGTAACAAAAAGTTAGAGAAAGGACCACTCTCCCAATAAGATTTTAGAGTTTGGATAGTTTTCTTTTATTGGCTTCATCAAATAACCACAGGCACCTGAAGCATGGATAATACCCCCCCCCCCTTTTTTTTAATAAAAAAAATGTAGAGTGTTTAGAAATATAAAATTTCCCCGTTTGGATAGTTGTACTTTTTCTCATTGGCTTCGAATAAAAATACAAATAACCTTGTCGTTAAGCACTGATACTATATCAACAACTTATATCACTTTTTAATATTTATGTTTTTAAAAATGTTTATTCGCTAACTGAAACAGCTGCAAGTTAAAACAGTAGATGTTGCCCATGTGAAAATTAATTATGATTTTACGTCCGTTCAACGTCCCTTGTGTGGGCGGCGGAAAGGGTAAAAAAGACATTAATGTAAAACTAACAACTAATTTCAAAAACATAGTGAAATACAAAACAGACAACCTTAAAACCAAATCAACAGACTCGTTTGCAAAATCAACAGACTCCGATGCAAAACCAACGATCACCAATGCAAAACCAACAGTCATTCACAGAATTGACGCTAGATGGCGTGCGAAAAACAGACATCTTTTTCACCCTTTCCGCCGACCATACCCTTGGAGAATTTTTCATTCGTATTATGTCGTCACCACTTTCTGTCGAGTAGAGCAATAATGACATTGATTGTATCGATTACATATTGAGTAATATTTCATTTATTTTAATCTGTGTTATTTTATACCAGGTATCAAAGGACAGCTCGCTTTTACCGCATGAAAAAATATCACGGAATAAGAACTCTTTAGCGGACAGAGTGTCGAAGGTCCATACATGTTGCAAGTCATCAACAGAAGTTATATGATCAATAATGGATAGAAGGTACATGATAGACCTTTCTTACAAAAAGCTGTGAATACACATCAATTTTATTTTGTACAACCATCCCCGTGGGAAAGGTCCCCCTAAAGACATGTTAAGAATCCCTGCCGTCATGCTCGTCTGGCCTAATGACTTCTGTCCACGAAGATTGAGAACATTTTTTGTCTGTCATTCTGTCTGCCCAATACTTTATTGGTTAAATCTAGAATTATTTTAAACAGAACGTTTTTGCACACTGTGTTCAACACTATAGTTTTAATGCCCTCTCAGCTATACTCAGTTCAAAAGACGACCTTCTTGTCCGTGATGCTTGAAAGGATTGACCAGAGGAAGTCTGGTATAAGTTGTGGTATTACAAACTTGTATGGGTGCTCGCTTTGCGAAATGGTAGTCCCTGAATAGCGGCCACTCTAAGCCTACATGTTGTTGATAGAAATTTCAATCTCTATTTAAAACATCTTCCTGTCCATAACAAAAGCTTCGTTTATGGCCAAGAATCATTGTTTATATCACAAGTTGACCGAATTTAAAGGCAGTTATGTTAAACAAACACGCAATATATATTCAACGTAACATTTTATTTAACAAATTCGTTGATCTTTGCTTGTTTGTGTAATTTTTCCATTAGATTCTTTTGTTAAAATATTCTGGTCATAGTTGTTACGGTACAATATTCGACATTTGGAAAGCGGCAGAAAAGACGTTCGGAATTAACTTATGCAACATCTATTGGTCGACGAAATCTCGGAAATAGGCCGATTAGGGGAATGTGTTGATTTTATAGAAACAACGTAAATATACCATGTATACTAACCTAAAGAAATTATACAGAGCAAATGAATCATTAATTTTTTTTTAAGAATAATAAAAGTTTTTTTTTTCTATTTTTATTCAAATAAGAGACATTTTTATTTGCATAAATCTTATGATGTGCGAGACTTTTTATCCCACATGTACCTGGTATACCGGTATTCGAGAATTTTTAAACTGTTTTAAATACCTTTATTTTATCACGATTTAAAATAATTGCAGTAGTGTGAGTAGTCAGATCAAAAATTTAGTATAAAATTATTAACAGTTTAATGGAAAACAGGTTATCAAATAAAATTTAATCACCTCATTCGCAACTTCTCGGGCCTTCAAACAATACCATAGGAACACTTGGAGTAATGTCAATATCTTAGAAGGCTCAAGTGAGCTTTTCTGATCAATTTTGACCGTAGTCCGTCCGTCTATAAACTTTTCACATTTTCAACTTCTTCTCAAGAACCACTGGGTCAATTTTAACCAAACTTGGTACAAAGCATTCTTGGGTAATGGGAAGTTTAAATTGTTAAAAATAAAGGGCCAAGTCCCTTTCCAAGAGGAGATAATCAAGAAAAGACAAAAAATAGGCTGGGGTCATTAAAAAATCTTCTCAAGAAACAGTAGGCCAGAAAAGCTGAAACTTTTGTAGAAGCATCCTGGGATAGTGTAGATTCTAAATTGTTCAAATCATGACCCCCGGGGGTTGGGCGGGGCCACAATAGGGAATCCAAGTTTTACATAGAAATATATAGGAAAAATCTTTAAAAATCTTCTTCTCAAGAACCATTGGGCCAGAAAAGCTGAAACTTATGTGGAAGCATCCTGGGGTAGTGTAGAATCTAAATTGTTCAAATCATGACCCCCGGGGGTTGGGCGGGGCCACAATAGGGAATCCAAGTTTTACATAGAAATATATAGGAAAAATCTTGAAAAATCTTCTTCTCAAGAACCATTGGGCCAGAAAAGCTTAAACATATGTGGAAGCATCCTGGGGTAGTGTAGATTCTAAATTGTTCAAATCATGACCCCCGGGGGTTGGGCGGGGCCATTGTCCAAGTTTTACATAGAAATATATAGGAAAAATCTTTAAAAATCTTCTTCTCAAGAACCACTGGGCCAGGAAAGCTGAAATTTATGTGGAAGCATCCTGGGGTAGTGTAGAATTTAAATTCTTAAAATCATGACCCTCTGGGGTAGGGCGGGGCCACAATAGGGAATCCAAATTTTACATAGAAACATATAGGAAAAATCTTCTTCTCAAGAACCAGTGGGCCAGGAAAGCTGAAACTTAGGTGGAAGCACCCTGGGATAGTGTAATTCTAAATTATTAAAATCAAGATGGGGGTGGTGGGAAGGGGGGGGGGGTAGGGGGCCACAATAGATATAAGAAGAGGGGGGATCTGGTAAAGAATTGCATCACCAAAGTTACTGTGAGCGATGTGGCCCATGGGCCTCTTGTTTTTAATTTATTTACTTGTATTGACAAAAAAATATTTAGTTATCCAAATGAGATACGAAAATCATATTTGATCATTGTCCTTTAAGTATGCGATTTTGTCTGACCTTGGATTTGATTTGAGTCGTTCTATCTTAGGTTCGGTGTTCTGAACAGAAAACAAAACCAGATTTAACATCCTTGATCACATGAATGTGAAAATCAGCAAAACGTTGAAAGCTGGATGAACTTAACAGAACGTGTCCAATGCGATATCAAAATACATTTAAATGCGCTGTTCAAAAAATATATTAAAATACATTTAAATGAATGTTTAACTATTTTCTCACTACATCACCTTGTAAACTTTAGTGTAATTCAGATGAATTTAAGGTAATTGTTTTGGAACTTGCAAAAACTTCTGAAAAACCCTAAGCGATAGTTAAGATTTCACACATATTTGATTTAAAACCTGTATATGCCATTTGAAGTTTTAAAAAAAGAGCGACATAAACAGTCCATCCTCGATCTTAACAAAATAACAGGATATGGTTCTTTTCACATGTATATTACAAGATGTTGTCGTTAGTAGAAGTAAAGGAATGGAAAACCAACATGATTCATAAAAGGATAATTGTAGATTTTAATCTGTTCAATTCAAATTAAGAATTAGGTAATTTGCCGGATCGCAAATATTCGACTTTCCAAGAACATACAGGGGGTGTAGCTAGATGTATATATACGCAGAAAATATCAGGGGGTGGGGAAGCTCGTGGGTTTTTTCCAAATTTTCATTCATTCTCTTTTCTTTAGAAATAAAGACTCACAATTATATTGTTTTTACGCAAAGACTTCCACTGAATCTTATACGTATACTTAAAACTGGATTTCATTTTGTACTTTTATTTAAGAATTACTGTCTAGTTTGTTGGTTATGTCAGGCATCAATGATAGCTGGAAATGTGGGATAATCTGCATAAATTATCCCACGTTTGCAACTATAGATTCCTTATAATTCCAATTCATTGAAAATTAAATTGTAAATTTAAATTTAAAAAATGTTGTTTAATAGATTTAAATTACACATGGCCTTCCATGTCAATTTCAATACTCCCCGCCCACTGACCTTAGACACGAAGACAGACGCATGAGATCTACATGTATAGGCATTCTCCTGACCTTTGTTTTCGCTTGGCGAAATTTACATTCCGGTTGAATTATCAAGAAATCAACTCACCTAACTTTCAAAGAGTTATCACAGATAAGAATAGGAATGGAAATATCATAGTATAATGTACTAAAGCATATAATGTTCAGAAACAAGTAAAATATTAGTGGAAAAGTATTGTACAGTATTTTATATTATGTATCATTTATTCTTGCCATTCAACGATGTGATTAAAATTTAATTTCTCAGACGTCTTGAATATTGTCAGTCTATAATAGAATATGTGGAAAACGTATTGAAAGATTAATTGGGTTTCAATTTTGGTAATGATTAAATAAGAGATTTCAAATACTTTGTATGAACAGGATAACACAAAATTTTGTTCGAAATAATATGACAAAAATTATTTGAATCAAAAATATATAGTAGATGATATTAACCCTTTTTTGGCAGAATGATATATATATATACATTGTTTAATTTGCGTATAGGCAGCTATGCACCGACGTATTTTTTACCCATTGTAAAGGTAAGTATTTCTAAACAATGACAACCGTAGCTACTGTTTGTTGTTCTAGGTAACATTTAATCTACACACAACCAGAAATATGTCCATAAAAAATATAATAAACAAATAAATATACGATAAATAAAAATTTTGAGTACTTAAGTTATAGTCAAATAATATAATAAGGATCCCTTCGAAGTTGGTCTTTATTGAACAATATTACATTTTTCCCGACATACTCAGGTTAACTAAATCTGAGGTACGCATCGATCCAGCAATTTCAGTGACAGAGGTTAAAGGTTATACACGGTCAACATAATCGATATGGTATTGGAAAACCTCATCAAGTCCAACCCTTTGGGAAAGTATCAACACGACTCGGTTTCTTTTATTAATCGCAGAAGGAAGATAGAGAGTAGAAATAGTCAAATGAAGTTGTTTGCGCAGACAGACCAAAGTCCTGTCCAATCTATATCAAGTTTATTTTCTTAAACAACCATTTGTTCATTTTCGGTATATTTCTAGTAGATCTAATACTATCATTCAGAGGAGGAATAGGATAAATGATGAAATGAACTTTGGAGCAAGCTAGTACACTTTTTAAAAAATTATTGAACTTTTTTGTACAGAAATTTCAAAATCGTTTATATGAAAATTATAACCCAAATGGGCTTCCCTTCCGAAAACCCACCAAGTCTATTACATACATTTTGTGTTTTAAATATTCTTAACCTTCAGAACTAACAAGACTCATAGCTCCATGACGAAACATTGCATCCGATAATATTTGTGATCGTTTCTCCGGAAAAAAAAATTTTTCCCTGACTTTTTATTTGGTTCTTTGATAGGATATAAAAATTTTGGATCAGAAAGATGAAGAGCATATTGGTACTTTCTGTCATTTTGGGGCAATTTTTATTGTCCGGTGCCGCTGGAGGTAAGACTTTTCTCAGAGTCGTTAAAATAAATTATAATTTTTTTTTTACTTTACTTTAATTTTATCCAAAACCACCAGCATGCCAAATCAAAATAAAAAAATTAATTAATTAAAAAATAAATACAGCATTCATCCATTTCTTACTTATCCTTTCTTTCCTTTTTATGGAATTTAAGATACGGTTATTTTTTTTTTTTCATTTTATATTAATTTTAATTCACTAATACAAATTAGAAAAAAGTTTACTGAATTGCTGGTTGGGTTCGTTGGACATACAGGGATACAGAGATAAATTGTATGTTTCAGTCATTCGCTGTATGGTGAAATCCTCCCATCTCATTCAAATATCCATGTTATTTTTCTTCAACATCTGGGCCGTCCCCCACCCCACCCCCAAAATCATAAAACTTATATTCTTCCTGTGCAAATTGTTAATCGATAGGGCAATGAATTTTATATATTTCCTGTTTGAAAAATATGCAGACAAAGTCGTTTTTCAATTTTCAGCAACGAATTCGGTTATATGTCTCTATAATATAGGATCGATGTTAAATACATTTTTAAATATTATATGAAGTAGCTAATCTAAAATATATATTGATTATTACGTCCGTATGTTGTAAATTTAAATGCATTGCCAGTAAATGTAAATTTACATTAAGAAATGATTTCGTTTGTTTGTTTGCTTAAGTTTTTTACGTAATAACCAAATGACCTTTAAATGCTGACCAAGCCCAACTGAACATGCTAAGACGCTTAAAATCCGGATCATACGGTCATTTCATTTCATATCAAAGAAATACACAAACAAAAAAGTCTTAACTGGTTTTGACTAGAAAAAAAGAGGTTATGTGAACGTTTATCTTCTGTGTATCCCCAACAACAATGACCATACGCTGTTTGATACAAGCAATTATGATTAAATGGACAGAGATCAAGCGTATAGAAAGGATTTAGTTCCCGCGAGGGCATCCAATGGGTTGACGAGAGGTGGTATATATGTACTTGTTATAATTCAATGAAAATTCAAGGCCAACATATCAATCTGTTATTTTTAAAGCTTTGATAGAAATTGATTGCTTCAAATAGCATGAAAATTTAAATTACTCTGTAATTCTTCCATTAGAGCATTAATTCTACGAAAAGTAAAGTTTACGACGTCAGCAATGTTAAAATATGTTCATTAAAGAAATCCGGCTGACGATTAAACCCGTCTGACGATAAGCCAGAAGGAACACTATAAGTGGCGAATTCTGAATTAAGTTGTGTATATTTAACACCTAAGGTACATGCCGAACATCTCTAATTTGAAATACAGGTGTAGTTCATTTTTTAGATATTAAAAATTACTTCTAAAACTGTTAAATCAATTCCGAAATCATTCTTCTGTTTCCTATAAAGATGCAGAAAAATCAGCAATAAAAAGCATCAGTGCACAAATAAAATTTAAACATTATCTCTTTATTTAGTATTTTGCTGTCATTTAGATGGTTTTAAATTAAGAAGACTTTTTTGGAGCGAAGACGTGTGTGTGAGATGATAGGGAGGATGTGGCGGGGAGGGGGGGTGTAAGGAAATAAAACATCCAATCACAGGAGTTCGCGTACCTATCAATTTTGCCGAAATTTTTGGTAAATAAAAAAAGATACGTAATACTTATTATTATTATACGTATTACGTAATTTTTTATTTAATGAAAATTTCGGTATAGTTGATAGGTACGCGAACTCCTGTGATCCAATCAACCAATAAATTATGGTCACGTGACACATTGCTAACTGGGTTTTAATAATGAAAAGAAAATATTCAAGACATGCATGTATATAAAATAATTCTTTAATGCTTTATTTTATAAAGAGCTTATCATTCAAAAAAAAAAGAAAAAAGAAATCCTTATACTCAGGTTAATGACCTTTGCTTTGACCTTCTCAGTTACAACCTTTACCGCCAAGGACTAGTTCATTTAAGTTCCTTAACTACCCCTTTAACTTTTTATGCACTTTTTTATATTTGCTCTTTCATTGCAATTTTATATCACTTTTTTCTATAAGAATTAAATACCGCAACGCTTCCCATTTTATATGCTATATTTAAGAGTTTTGCCTCCATCATAGGATGTCTAATTAAAATAAAATTAGCTGTTTGAAAAGGACAAGTGGATCGCATTTACTATTTAGCTTCCTGAGCTGAAGAATCAGGTGAGTTTTCCTGATCAAAATTTTTCAGTTGTCGAAGTTTAAATAAGAAAAATTTATAATTGGGGTGGGTCATGAATTTCTTCTTTCGAAGTTTAAATAAGAAAAGTTGATAATTGGGGTGGGTAATGAATTTCTTCTCAAGAATCAGTGGGCCAGAGGAGATGAAACTTACATGCATATGAAAGCTGGCCATGGAAGTGAGACGTGTTTCATTCTGTTTTCCGGTGTCATTAAAAAGAATTCCAGGATTGGTATTTTTGTCCTTAATTTTGTCCAAATTCACCGACATACATAAATATCATATTTTTTTTATCCAATATATTCATTTTTTTTTAATACTTTCTTTCTTCTTTCCTTCTTTAGGGAATTTAAATCCGACCCATATTAGGACAATGATACTTAAAGAGTTTTCAGCCTATTGTCCTTTACAAAAATTTGAATTTTTCAATTAAAATTTGTATATGACATATAAATTTTAATTGAAAAATTCAAATTTTTGTAAAGGACACCATACATATCTGTTATGCATTCAATTCCACTGAATCCGAGGCTAATATGGATCAGATACCTTAAGATATGCTTCAATTTCGTAATTTTGTAATTAACCTCAATATACAGCGGCAAAAGGACACATATTGAGATTTTTTTTTAAAAATCGTTCCCATGAAATAAAATTCGTTCCCACGTAATTAAAATTTAATTCGTTCCTGTGAAATAAAATTCGTTCAATACTTATCAGATTAGACAAATTTTTACCTAACTGCTTTTGGGGCATATAATAGCACCGATATAGTGTTACAGTGTATGTAGCTGTATGGTGAAGCCCATCTTTCCCATTGAAAAATACATGTTAGTTTTCTTCAACATCTGGATCCCCTACCCCTACCAAAAAATCGATCGTTTAAAGTTTATAAAACTTGTTTCTCTATTGTGCATGAAGTATGTCTTGAACTAATTTTCCATTTGAATATGCAATAAGTTGAATATACTGGCGATGTTAAATACGTTCTTTTAAATATGACATGAAATTGCTTATCTAAAATATACATGTATATTGATTGTTATATATGTGTAAATTTAAATTTTATTGCTACTTAATGCAAATTTGCAGTATAAAATAATGATAACATGACCACATGACCATAAAATGCTGACTTTGCCCACGTGAAAATAATATTTAAGGAAGCTTTAACATTTAAAAAGTGCTTTATGGACTTGAAGAAAAATACACATGTATCATATAAAGATGCGCCTATTGGGATTATTTAGTTAGTTTTCGAAATAGGGTACCTGCCTTATTTCAGCAGGAAAATGTTTAAAGACAATAGACTTATCATGAGCAGAAATCACTCTTGTTTACTTACATAGGAAAAATAAATGGAAAAAATGAATTCATTTACTTATTCTTGGTCTAATAGAATGCTAGGAATATTTTAATCTCTTACAAATTGTGTAAGTAACTGTAAATAACCCTTTTTATCTACTAGTATTTTACTTTTAAGGGCAGATCAATCAAACTGCAAAAAAACTACCCTATAAATAGAACTCTTTAGTGTATAGTTTAAAGAGCTTCCTTAAAACGCTTAAAATCCGCATCATATGGTTAGTTCATATAAAAAAAATTCTAACCGGTTTTGACTAAAGAATAGTTATGTGACTTTTATCTGTTGTGTACCCCTAAACACAATGACCCTATGCTGTTTGGTACAAGTAATAATGATTTAAATGAAAAGAGATCAAGCGAAGAGAGGATTTAGTTTCAGTTATGGCGCCCAATGAGTGGGCGATACATGTAGGTGGCATATCTGTCCTTGTTATAATTAAATGAAAATTCAAGGCCAAAGTCCATCTGTTGATATTTTCATACCTTTCATTGGATTTGATTGTTTCATATAGCGTAAAAATTTCTATTATACGTAAGTCTCCCATTAGACATTAATTCTCAGAAAAGAACAAAATAAAAATAAAAAAAGATACGTCAGCAATGTTAACATATTTTTATTAAAGAAACCCATTTGATGAAATTTGTTTTAAAATAAGCCATGAGGAACATTAATGGATATTCTGAATTAAGTCGAGAGTGTATTTAATTTCAAAAGAACTTGTGGGATAATTTTTGCCTGAAATAATCATAATACCAAATTAAAAATTACATCCAAAAATATGTCCAGTATATTCCTTTTTCTTTTTCTTTTTTTTAAATATCAAGCTTTTTAAAAAACCACTGCACCGATATTATGAGATAATATGTCCTTTTTATGGACTCATATTTATATTAATAAAAACTTTATAATACAGAGAGATGGAGGATATATGTGTGTATGAAAAGTGCATGTGTGTGACAGTGTGACGTAAAAAAAGATTTTTAAAAAACTAACAAATTAGGGTCACGTGACACACAGTAAGAGGATTATGAGATGTTTTGATATATACACGTACATAAACTAATCCCTTACTGATATATTTTATTTAGAGATTGTGATGCAGCAAAAATCATTGTTAGGTTATTGACATTTTATTTTACCTTTTCTCATTAGAACTTTTACAGTCAAGGACTTGTGGTAGCTCATTTTCATTAAATCCGTTCTATTCCTCCTACTTCTTTTGACTTTTTAGGTACTCAAATGTCACTTGTTCTCTATTAGAATCAGAGACCATAACGCTTTTCATTCCATATGCTGTATAATACAGGCTTTTATTTACCACGTGGCGATTTATATGTCTAAATCAAATTAGCTGCTTGAAGAAAATAAGAAGATAAAATTTTCTTTTTAGCTCACCTGACCCGAAAGCTCGAGTTAGCTTTTCTGATGGAAGTTTGACTAAATCGTCGATGACACGATAATACAATGCGTGGCGCAAAAACGATTCAGCAATGAAGATGAAGCAGTGGTAAATAGATGATGACACCAATGCGATACCGTGACAATACGATGACAATGTATCAATAGCACGATCAAACAAAAGTAAATATCGATTCATCGTCATCGCACCATCGTGTCAACGCTATCATACCATCGTTTCATTGTCAACGGCCCATCGTCATAGCATTGTCAAGACATCGTCGTCGCCCCTTTGCACCATCGCTCCACTGGCATTGAACTATCGTCATCATCGCCATCGTATTATCGTAACATATCGCAATATCGATCCAAAACTCGATGGTGCAATAGTAAACTACATGATATGAATGGGGATAGGGTCATTTAGCTCACTATCAAGCCATCGAGCGAGCATCGACTAAGAGTTGATGGCGCAATAATTGCTAGACCCTATAACGATGAAGCGATGATGCTATAGAGCGATGACGATGATGCCATGCCGCGACATTGCATCGACGACGATGCGATACCAGCAGCACGATGGCGTGGAACCCTTCATCGCACCTTCGTATTATCACCTTGTCACATCGCCTTGTCACTTCATTGTCATCGCACTATTGCTTCTTCATGGCATTATCGTGTCATCACACTACCGACACAAATTATCCTGTCATCGCCTTACCGACCCAAATCTCGATGTTTCGATGACGTAATATTGATCTTGATTCACTAGATACATGTGCTGCAATGCAGGGACAATTTTAAATGTTGATGTACATGCAATAAATTTTGAAATACAGAGTAATCAATATTTGATATGAAAAAAACTATAGTGGCCAAAAAAGGATCTATGATTTGATGTTCTTTTCTTTTGTCTGGTTGATAATGTTTGTTTTTGTTTTGTCTTTTTTTCTAGTTTGGAACTATACAGACCAGGCAGCATGGAGTTCGATGCCCGGGTCACAGTGCAGTGGTAGCAATCAATCACCCATCAATTTTCCTCCTATGGTTGAAATGGTCTACAGCGAAAATCTAAAAGCATTTACTTTCACCGGTTATGATCAACTAGTAACTAGCCCTACGATTGTAAATAATGGACACAGTGGTAAATATTGTACACATTCATTCAAATTCAGGACTGATTGTATTTTCTATTCTCACAAAATATCTTTAAATATTATTACCCAGCTAGCTCAGGAAGCATATTGCGGAGCCGGAATTTTATTGCAATGTAATCTATTCTTAACAAATAAGGAAAAAAAGTAATAAAACGTCATTTCTAAAAAGAAAAGTTTCAAGAAACTTAAACTAGCTTTTGCTTTATATAATATTCAATATAATTTGAAAAATATGTTTGATATTTCCTCAGGCACCTGAAGTATGGATAATACCCCCCCCCCCTTTTTTTTAACGAAAAAAAATGTAAGAGTGTATAATACCTCAAAAATATATAATTTCCCCGTCAAACACATCTATATGTCGTTATATGCAAGCAGATTGTACTTTTTCTCACGTTTAAAGAATGGCCCTATGCGGTGTATTTTTATTATACCGAATAGGGCCATTCTTTAAACGTGAGAAAAAGTACAATCTGCTTGCATATAACGACATATAGATGTGTTTGACGGGGAAATTTTATATTTTTGAGGTATTATACACTCTTACATTTTTTTTCATTAAAAAAAGGGGGGGTATTATCCATACTTCAGGTGCCTGTGATATTTCTTCTTCCGAGGAAGTACTAGAACCGATTTATCTTGCAATTCGAACACTTCTCAGTGACGCATACTGTATACTAAGTGAATTATTACTCCAGTTTCACTGGATAACTTATTTCTGAATCTAAAACACATTTAGATTTTTTTCTGCTGATCTATTCACCACGATAGTATAACTAGTATTTAGTCTATTGTAAAGTCTTTCTCCAGCTAGTAAAATATATACCTAAATTGCAAGGTTCTGTGATAAGAGAGGTAACTCAGTAGGACAAATGACTTAAATTAATTGGCAATTATCGAATTTTGCTACGTAAATTCTGAAATTGTATGCATTTTAAATTAGATTTCTTGAGTTTAGATCAAATTAAATACATTAATAACTTGATCTAAAAGGTCACTTTTACACTAGATTGTTGTAGATAAGTTTAAATTAAAAAATTGAAATTTTTAGCATAATTTATCTATTATTTTAGACATAGATGTACATGTATAAGAGGACGAAAAACATTATCAAAGTTATACAATAAATCAATTTATTTAGTTTGAGTAAAATAAATAAATTAATTTATCAATATGTGCAAAAACTGCACGCTTTTTTGTGCATGTATTGAGTGAAGTGAAATTGCAGAACATTTATAATTAATTACATAAATATTCTTTTAGTCACCGTGACGTTTACAAATGATGCCCGTGTGTCGGGAGGCGATCTGGGAAGCACATTTAAAGCGGCCCAGTTTCACTTCCACTGGGGCAATGACAACACCCGGGGGTCAGAGCACACCTACAACGGCATGACTTACCCAGCGGAAGTAGGTCACATAGTATTGTCATAGTGCTGAAAAGATATAGAAAATAATGCTAAAAAAAAGATCAATTTGAAGTCATAAGTATGTGGCATACCAATACATACTAGAAGTCAGTGGAATGTCTTTATGTACAACTATTACATGTATTTGGTTTTTATTGAGAATATGATTATCAACAACCCATTTTTCAGCTCCATGTAGTCCATTATAATACAAAGTATGCAGACATCAGTGAAGCTGTAAGCAAGCCCGACGGACTGGCCGTGTTGGGGTTTTTCATAGAGGTTAGAAAAATTAACATACTTCGTACCTATTAATTTATGTTTTTACCTATTGTATATGTTATTAAAAGAATCCTTTCCGTACCCCTCCCCCTCTCCCTTTTCGAAAAAATGTCCAATTTGTTGTCAAGGTGTGTGTGTTTTACCTATTTTTATTCAACCTTTTCAGGTTGGTCCAATTCATAATTGCAACTTTGGACCGGTCATAGATGCACTGAAGAACGTCCCAGACAAAGGTGTGTTTGATTTGCGTTTCTTTCCCGTCTGAATAATGATTAAAAAAAAACAAGTAAATAAAACATCAGAGCACCTATAGATCGTTTTTAAGTTTTATCTGTCTCACGACGTTAATTCCCGTATTAACAACCGAAGAAAGCATTTTAATATGTATGCCCCCGTAAACGAAGTTTCGGGGTTATATAGTTTTTGTCGTGTCCGTCAGTCTGTCTGTCTGTCTGTCTCTCTGTCCGCAAAAACTTTAACCTTGCCCATAACTTTTGATTTAGTAGAGCCATGACTTTCATATTTCACATGTGTATTCCTTGTGACAAGACCTTTCTTTGGATACCACCAAATTTGACCTTTTGACCTTGGAGTTTGACCCACTTTTACATGAAAATTTTAAACTTTTACTTTGGCCATATCTTTTGAACAGTAGAAACTAGGACATTTATACTTCACAGATGTATTTTTTGTTGAAAGACCTTTCATTGAATACCAACAACTTTGACCCTTTGACCTAGACCTTGTAAATTTCCGTACTTGTGAAAAAACTTTAACCTTGGCCATAACTTTTGAACAATAAGGGAAGGGCTTTCATACTTCATATGTGTAATCCTTGTGAGAGGACCCTTCATTGGATACCAAGAACTTTAACCCTTTGACCTTGACCTTTTTGTTTGACCTACTTTTAAAAAGCAAACCTTGAAAATAACTTTAAAAGGGTTGGGGCTAGTGCTTTCATACTTTACATATTTAATTCTTGTGACAAGACCTTTCATTTGATAACAAGAACTTTGACCCTTTGACCTTGACCTTGGAGTTTGACCTAGTTAAAAAAATTAACCTTGGCCATAACTTCTGAATGATTAGGGCTAGGGCTTCCATACTCTACATAAGTATTTTATGTGGCAAGACCTTTCATTGGATACCAATTACCTTGACCCTTTAGATTTTTGTACTTATTGAAAAAACTTTAACATTGGCCTACTTTCAAATTTCACAATTGTTTTTCCAGTGAGGATACCCTACTTTTGGTACTAATTAATTAAATTTGCATTTAAGAAAAGTTTAATCTTTGCTATATTGCTATACATATGGGGGCATCAGTGTTTCACAAACACATCTTGTTATTCTTTAAATTTCAGGTAATACTTCATCGTTGACCCCCTTCAAACTCCGTCACATGCTTCCTATGCAGCTAAGAGACTACTACCGGTACATGGGGAGCCTGACCACGCCCCCCTGTTCTGAGACGGTCAAATGGACAGTCTTCAGGGACAGGCTTTACATGTCCGAAGAACAAGTAAGAATGAAGACAATAGGGCTGGGCAAAAATATCGATATTTCAATATATTGCGATACAATGACAAAAAATATCGTATCGCAATACGATTTTGTAATATCGATATATTGGCAATATATGCTTAGATTAAGGAATTTTGTCATTAAATATAAAAATGGACTTATGAAATTTTGTTTTTAAGCCAAACAGTAAGACAGAAGTTGTTTTTTGGGAGCATTTCAGAGCAAAACTTAAATAAAATCAACAAGATTTTTTTCCGTGTTGGTTACTTATAGTTATGTACATTCTGCATGTAAATTAAGTAAATATACTAAGTAGTAAGAAAATGCCATCTTAAGTAGATTGAAAATATTGCAATACATATCGCAATACACCTTAAAATATCGCAATATAACCCAATACGAAATCTCGGGCCAATACCCAGCCCTAGAAGACGAGCAGGGTTAATTAACGATTGGTTTATATCAGTGAAAATTTTACCTGTCATATGGATCGCCTCCCCAATTTTTTTTTTCAAGTTTTGTAAACAATTTTCATATATTTCTTGAAGGTCTTCTCGTAGCCTACGTTTTTATTTATGACTGTACATAATTACGTGATGATTCTACAATTCTTTGGAACATTTATGTCATTACTTTAGACATTATAAAATATACGCTTACTTTTTCAGCTACAAGAATTTCGCAAGATCTACTTCGACTTATCAAAGTCCAAGGTAATGGTGGACAACTGGAGGCCTCCTCAGCCTCGCAATGGAAGGAAAGTTTACATCAGTTTCGATGTCAACGCCAATTCCTCACCGGTGCATCTGGTCAATTTATCCTTAGCTATTTTTATATTCTGTGTTCAATGGTTAGCCATGTAATCATAGTTTGTGACGTCGAAATTCTACAGCAATAATGTCAAGTGTATTCCCACATCGAAATATTTTCCATTTTCATTAAATAAGATTATAGCATACTCGAATGTGTTTCAGTGAAATGCAGATTTTTTTTTTCTCAATAATACATGGACAAGAGTTAAAAGTTATCAAATGTTTTACATGCTTGTATAAATGATTGGCATTTGCGTGTTTTGTGTGTATATTGTAGTTAATAATTTGAGTGTTTGATGTGCATATTGTAATTAATAAGGTACTGTAGGAAAATTTGTGTCACTTCAACATAAAATTTGTGTCACTTCAATATAAAATGTATACTACTGTTTTGTGAATTTGTACATGTAAAATATAGACATCTACATTTCAATAAATGTAAATAATTAGGAATTCAATATGTAAATATTGTATTTAATGTAAAGAAATTTAAATTAATAAAACATATGAAAACTATATTCATCAATTTTGAATTATGATATATTTATACATTCATGCATAAAACAATTATTAATGCTTATATCAGCTACACCTCCTAAGATTTTCAATTTAATTCAAGTGTTAGTCTTTTGTGCATCTACTGCAAAATAAGTCTTCCTCTTTGTGCGGTGTTGTACTTCTTGCCTGGGGATATCTGTGTTCCCAATTATGAATTTCTTTGTCACCACAATACACAGTACATGTATTACTTATATGAATGAGAACAACTTCCACTGACTTATACTCAGATCAGGAACTGGCGCTAGTGCTATCTGTTGATAAGTATCACAGGTCCGCTTATAGGGTGGGAAATTGACAAGCACTTTTGATTCCACTTGTGAAAAACGCCACCATCATTTCACATTTTTCTCCATATTATACAGAAATCTAAACAAGCGAGGCCCATAAATACTTTCTGTGGGAGGCTGAACCTGGGCAAATCCCATTTTCTCAAAAAATGCAACAGCTTTTTCTGCACTTTGTACGCGGACAGGTCGTTTGATGACGTCCAACATGGACGTCATCGCTTTCTCCAAGAGTCGTCTGCCAACACCCTGCCCTTGGAAGTCTCCCTTAAAGCTGACATGAACTCTTAAAAAGGCATCAATTTTCATCTTTGTACGACTTACTACATTCCTGTACGCCTTTGTCCGCCATATTTCTTCGATTCCGCCATATTTAATCGAACATTTTTGGCCACCTGTACCTGCTATATATAGCCTTTTACAATTGTTTCACTTGAGTGATTTTCTATCCTGGCTGTCGACATGTGCACATCTCCGATAGCATAGTTTTTAGAAGTCAATAAACTGACCAATACATGTTTGAAAAGTAAAAATTCAACAAAAACTAGAACTATACCGAGAATTAAATTATTTTTGAATGCATTTGCTGCAATATAGAAAATACACTTTCACGGAATACATTCAAGTAGAGCAAAAATTCCATGCAGGTCAGTCGAGAAAACGCGTCAAACGCAGTGATAGAAATATTTACCTGAGTACTGCTATCGTTACATGGATGTGCACATGTCGAAAGAATTATCCTATTTTACTTTTATTGAAATATGCATCTCAGAAATCATGTATAATCCATTGCTAACTCAACAGTAAAAACTGCTTGGACACACGTGGTCCATGCCGATCATTTTATTTGGTCAGGGAAAATATCAAAGGTTGAAAGCGCCGTGGAGTTGACTGAAGAAAATGCAAATAATTTTTTTTTTAAAGAATAAACATTAATCTTGTCTGTAAATGAAATAATGTAAATAAAATTTTTGAAAACATGGTTTAACTTCATCAAATTTATAATAAAGCATGCATTATTACGAATCATTCACCTTTTGAAGATATGAAGATATTTTCCTGTGAAAGGGGGGGGGGGGGTAATAAAACATGCATAACATTCTCATAAAAATATTTTAAGAAAAACGTCTGAAACAGATCGGATTTCTTTATGATCAAATATATTCAAATAAATACTGTGTATTGGCTTTATTAGACCCAATATAATTTGATTTAAAGTTGTTTATAATTTTATGCACAATGAAAGAAAAAGTGAGCAAATTCACATACCCCACGCTCCCACAAAAGTCGAAGTGTTGAAATTCACAGAAAAAATAAAGGAATCGTAATTTCCTTGTAATATGCCCATATATACACATTGTATCCTAAATATCTGCAAAGTTTGACGAAATTGTGTGCAGCGGTTTATGAGGAATTGCCCTGACAAACTGTTCATCTTTAGGCTGTTTAAAGTTAATTCTACGTTTAACGTCACATCTAAAGTTCAAAACCTACGAGGGAGGGAGGAAAAAAATAAACAAACAAAATTTTCAAACAATTGTGAATTTATTCAAATTAACCTATTCAGTACATTAAAAACATTACAATTAAAGTAATATGAGCATTTAATTGATATGACACCTAAGATTAATTTTCCTAGCAGAGTTTTTCCTTAGTATGTAAATCAGTTTGAGTCCTATTGTAAGCAAAAAATGTAGTCTAAGACTGAATGTGCAGGAAAGTGGCTTTTAACTAGGCCTTAGTTGTCCTTTTGATTTATATTGCCACACATCCATGGTACCCTGGAGGCAAATGCTTCTTCTTGTGGGAATAGTTGCTCAATATCTACAATTAAAATTATTGATGACAATATTTAAAACTGTTCATGTTGAAATATCCTCAAATTTAATTATGTCGTATTTTTTCTTAGTACTAGATCTACTAGCATTAAGTTTTGAAAGTGTGAATACTAATATTTGGACCATACTGATAGCTGTTAGGTTATCTTTAATACCTTGAATTCCACACAAAAGACAGTATTCTTCACGTCTTGGAATACCCCAACCACTTTCCTTTTTTTCCTTCAATTGAAAGGCCCATTTCTTCGGTAAGCTTCTCCCTGCTCAAATGGTTATGACAAGTATTATCTTTTCCAAAAATTGTAGCTATTTGTAGGTACATAAATTATGAAGAAATCAATTAATTTACTCATCACTGTTCCTTTTGATTTTTACAGAAATATTTTTAATATGAAACATATTAAATAAGATTTGAATGATGCTTTTCACTGTATATAAATATTGGTTTTTGACACACTTTCCACTCAGTAAAAAAGTTTTTCGATTTTCTCCAAAATACAATGAAAAGTTCAGCCAATAATCACGAACTGAGAGTCTGTCAGTCTGTACATGTGATTCGAAGACTGACAAAAAATCAACAAACTAGACTTTGTCATTAACTTCAATCATAAAATCATCTATTTTTTACTTACATTTATGGTCCCAAGCTCTTTAATTCACTAGTTTTCTTTAATAAGACACCAACTGCCTTTATACTGCGGCTATCAAAGCACATTTTCTGTCAATACGGGAAGCAGAATTTAGTCGCTAATTGTAGAACCAAACCAGAACGGACATACGGAATTCCGAATTGTTTGTTTTTTTCAAAGACGAATTTCTCATAAACCTACGCGCGCGGGTGACGTTAAACATAGTTTTAATTTTAGACAGCCTTATATTCAAGATATCGCCAAAATCTAAACGTAAAAGTGCGGAAATTCCCGAAAAAATAAAGATTTCGGAATTTCCTGGTAATGTGCAAATACAGACACATTGACTCCTTTAAATATCTCGAAGGTTCGACAAAATTCTGTGCATTAGTTTATAAGAAGTTGCACTGACCAAAAAAAAAGGGCTGACTGATGGGTCCAAAACATTATACCTCACGCAACTTGTTGCGAGGGGTATAATAAACGAGTTTGATTCTGTGGTACAATGATAATGAAAATAGAATTTAATTTGAATTAAATTTCTAGACATAAATAATTAATGATTACTAGAAAAAGCAGATAAAATGAGAGAGGAAACCCCCCGCGAGGATTTCCGCATTCTTCCTACAATTACCTTTATAAAAATTCTATTGTCTTTTGTCCAGGTTCAGCATATACATGTAAGTGTTGGAACCGGGGGTGGCTTTTGTACAAATATATACTTAGTATAGACATTGAATATTGCTGTGTAGTCCCCCCCCCCGGGGGGTATCATTTAGTGAGCTCATTGCTCACAATACCTCTAGTTTCTCTTTCAATTTGGCCGTTTGGGTTAACTTCTCGTCCAAATTAAAATTATTATTCAATTTATGAAGTTTCGACATCCCGCCTGAAAAAAAAAATCCTTGATCTGTCCTTAAGCTTAATAAATGGACAGCACAAAGTGCATAGGATCTTATACCTATTATTGCTCTAAGAGATGGCTACAGAGTGAGAGAGAGGGAGAGAAAGAAAGAGAGAGAGAGTTCAATATACAAAAGAGTAAATAAAAATTATCCGTATTCAACCAGTGTCAAGATTCCCTACCCTAGCTTTTAAAATTATCTCCCAAATATTTTACAGAAATTATTTTTAAATATAAAAAAAAAAAAATAGCTAGACTATCAGGCAGGGATACTGAAATCTCGAAAGTCTCTCTTTAACACCATAATTATAAAACATTTATACATACCTCAAAATGCACATACATTTCAAAATTGAATTCGGCAGAGATGTCTGTCTTCCAAGAATATTTAGATTACGGTCATGTCAATTATTTTTGCACCCCCCCCCGCCTATAAAATCAAATGCCTAAGTGTCAATCTGAACAGGGGATGGCATTTCTTCGTGTGTTTGTGTGTTAAAGAACGTATAGATCTATGTACACATAAAAATTGTATTTTGGTTAATTGCTTTTAAGATTTGAAGTAAATAATTACCGTACATCAAATTACTTGGTTTAGATTAGAGATTAGTACTATAATAATCAGTTATAATTGACAAATGAATTTTGCGACGCAAACCAACTGCAGACTATATACATGACTTTGTATAGAATGTATATTAGAACTACATGTAGATAGACAATTCACAATTATAGCTTATGAATAGCAGTTATAATACCCCCCCCCCCCCCCCCTTCAGCCGCGCAAATACCAAATAACTTCTCTTTCCACTTGTGATATTTTCCCAGACCAAAATCTGATCAGCACGGACTAGGTGTATCGACGTGCTTGTCTGTACGGAGTAATGACAGTGTGTTTACTATTGAGCTTTTACGGAGTTTATTTCTTTTTTGTGATGCATATTTCAATAAATGGAATTCAGGGTGTATATCACTTGACTTGTGCACATCTTCGAACCGATGCAGTAACCTCATTACCAGGTATGGGTACGTTTACAGCGTTCGAGGCGTTTTCTCGATATGCACCAATTGCATAGGGGCTGCAAATCAAAGACGTTGGTTGTTTTGTGCCATTCAAATGATAATAATTTTAAAATGTGTTTGCAGATTTTACTGCTTTTTATTTCAAGTTTATTCTGCATAAATTGGCGCACTGTAAAAATACGTACTCGTGCATCTAAATTTCTCACCAAACTTGCATTTTTTTCTTTTGATTCAAATCAATAATTATTCAGAAATATGATTATTACTTTGTTTATAGTGGTTTTGAAATGTCTTGGTCTTCTTATTTGTTCTCATATATGCTTTACCATCGGAGATGTGCACAAGTCGATACCAAAACCAAAAAATCATTCAACTGTAACGAGCGCATTGGGGTATACATCGTTACAATGAGACAAGGTATCTGAAAGAAATATGGCGGAATACGGCTATCGTTGGTATGAAACAAGTCGTACATAGATGAAAATGTTGCGTTTTTAAGAATTCATGTCAGCTTTAACAAACAAAAAAGCTATAACGTGGTAAAAATCGGAGTCAAACGTTGCATCAGGTTCCTCTAAACTAATGTCAGCTGTTTTGAAGCATATACTACCAATAAGAGTTGTTTTTCCGTATAGAGTTTCGTACGCAAAGATGACTTGATGTTCTTCAGGTATGTCGAACACTTCTCCACTGACATCACGTGAAAGTTGTCTAAATTTAGGTCGAGAGCGAAATCGTTGCTCTTCCTTAAGCGTTACTTTACCTGTAAAAAAAAGTACACATTAATTTACTTCTTACTTGTTATAAATGAACTTTAAAAATGTCATACTTGGGATATGAATGGTAAAATGGGATACTTTTCTAAAAATAAATCTTTTTTTTTTTTTTGATAAGCCAAAAATTCCAAATCAAACAAAAAAAAACAAACAAAAAACAAGCAAACAAGGGCACCGAGGCAAATTACGTCTCTTCCGTTTTGCACAGGACATAACCCACATAAACACACACACGGTTGTGTTACTATATCCCCTCCAACTCCGCTGCAAGAGAAAAAACCCGTTTGGGTGGGTGAATGGGGGGGTTTGAACATTTTGCAACCCGCTTTTCTTCAGATAAACTACAGCTGGTAAATGTAAAGGTTAAACTAGACTACAGACTATACAATGTAATGGCTCATGCAACCGATTTTCGACAGTTTAGGTTTTTTCTTTGGAATGTCCAAGGCAATTGTTTGGTCATTAATTATATAAAGTTCATAAATAGAGAACGACGAAATGGTAAAATTGTTAAGTTTCCATGAAAAACTAGTTTGCTGTAAAAGTAGTTGAAATAGGTTTTTAGTATTATTGAAATTTTATCACCAGATCAAACGCATCGATTAAGATGGTGATATTTCACACTGTATATTTTCATTATATAAACGTTAAGTAAGTCTCCACTGTAGAAAATATTCACTGAAAGTCCGCCCCCCTACCTACTTTTTGTTGAAGTTAAGTAACAAAGAGTAATGAAGTATGTTGTAGAATATTTGCAAATATTTGTTACTGAAAGAAGTTGCCCCCCCCCCCCCAGGAATTTACCAAACAAACAGAGCTCTACAAAAAGTGGATGCTATTACTGAGGATCAAATATATAATTTCTTAGTTCTTTCAGGAAATAATCTATCCCCAATTCGTACGAACATGACAAGAATAGGCTTTAAAAATTAGCTTATAGGCCGAGCACTTTGATATTAATCGAATCACACGTTGAGGCTGTATTGACAAAAATACCAAGTACTTAGGCTATCACTTTTCAACTGCATGGTCACACTCACACACTGAATTTTATATCAAAAGACAGAAAAAATCGTATCAGTCTGTTTACGTATTTTAAATTTTTACCGAAAAAAACCTGTGCGTGAAAGGGGGCTTTTAACAGACTTACCTAGTAATTAAGCTAATGAAGAGACATTATTCCCTACTGCTGTATTTTTTTTTCAAATAAACAGATTATATATTATTGCTCGGAAAAAAAGATAATTAATTTTTAACATCAAGTATCAACTGCTTGAAATGTACAAAGAGGGAGAACTCTAGAAAACATATTTTATTGAAACATTTCTTTAATTTAAGCATATTAAGTTTTTTATTTCTGTTTTTTCTTTCATCATTAGAAAAAAAAAGAAACGAAAAAGAATGAAAGAAATGAGAGGAATATGTACGCCTGCAAGAGAGATGAACAATGCGAGATCCACTCCTCGGGCACATCATCATGGTGATAAAAATAAAATGGCGACGAGACCATCCAACATTGCAATTTGGATTACCACTATAGCTTCATATGTGTGCTGAATATACGCCAAGCATGGCGATAAAACAAACAATGATGCTATTCTGATTTAGAAAAAAAGTAAGAGACTGCACTCGACAGCCATACAAACTGGCAAAAAAGCTCTACCTGAATACGTCATTTTCCCGCCATTTATGGATCTTCGTCTTCACTCGGGATAACTCGGGTAAAAACGTAAAAGCGCATTATTTTTCCATAACAACAACACAAAACTTCGCAAAACCCTTTACGTCATCAAAAGATGGGAACCGGGCACTTTCTTCGCAAAATTCATACGCCAAATAAATTTATTCCTCTATTTATCAATTCCGTGATTAAAGTTATGTAAGATTAATCACTATTATAAAACACTACAAAATGAAGGATTTTGGGAGGACCAAACTTCAAATTGTCATATGATTTCTTAAACATTACAGCAGACTATTTTTATTTGCGGATTAATTGTTCTAGGTGATTTACGTCTGATAATGGTGGCCAAGTAAACTGCGAGAGTCTTTCAAGAAAACAGCCATGAGTTCAGAAATAGAGCCCCATATTACCAAAAAGTATGAAATCAAGAAACGGTTAGGAAAAGGGGTGAGTGACTTTGAAGAAGTTTTGACTGTATTTGATAAGATTACTTTTTGAATTGGTTTTGTAGATTGGTAACGAGGTACGCTTTCGTCTCGATCTCGGACTATACCAGCAGAAAAATTACCTAAAACAAACGTTCTATTAAATCTACCCTTCATTCTCTATATAAAAATCAACAAGAACTCCGGATCGAACGGAAGTATGTGTTAGTACATGTATAGATTTCATGATGTTCATTGATGACTTCATCTAAAAACGACAAACATAGTCAAAATTATGCTTTGAATATTTGTTACAATTTTAATCTTGTTTTCCTATAATAAATATAAATGTTGTATTTTGGCGCATTGTCAAATTTTGCAAATCATTAACATGACTAATAAGCACTAAGCTTATTGACATATCTTTTATGTGACTGAAATTTATATCTGAATGAAATATGTATTATCCTTTATTATTAATGTATCACCTCGCTCCTTTATACTTAATGTTCTTAAACAGAATTACAAATAGAAAGAAAATTAAATATTATTAGTTATTAATAAAAAAAACTAATTTAAGTAATGGGAAAGGAAACATGTCAGAAGTTGCATGTTAATACTCCGGAATATTTTATACGACTATGGACTCTTTCAGTGATGAATATGGTTTGTTTTTCACCAGCTGCAGAACTGTAGCTTTCCGAAGAAATATATTTATTATCAAACAGGAGAGCTACATCGGTGCCACCCACTGATGAAAATGTAATAATTATTGCGCACAAAAAATGGACTGGTTCTTGATTTATTTCTCACTGTTTTTAAAACTGCTATCTAAAAATATTACTAAACCTGTGTTCCTAACATATTCCTTTACTGTTTCCCTGTAAGACATTGAAACGTTTTGATTTCAAAATTTAAAATTAAAATTTGTATGTTGTTAAACGTTCCACACAACTACAAAACATTTTGAAAATATAATCCAGTGATAGTCTTCTTTAACATTTTCTGCTCAGATAGTCATAGCTGGCTTTGGTCATTGCAACCATTATTTACAACATTGTTTAAGGTGTTGCTGCTGCAAACTCACTAACCATCCAGTAAATATGTGTTGGTTCAAATCCTGAGTGAATATGCAATTTTTTGAACCGTTTATCTACCAAATGATTCCACAGTACTTTACAAATTAAACATAATCACTTGTTTAAAAGAGTAAGTAAGGTTGCAAAAAGCTTTATTTCAGGAAAGCATAAGGTTGAAAAGCATAATGTAATTAGTGTAAAATTATTAGTTTAATTCTACTTTTTCAGTTCAAGTGTTGAGTGGACTGGTATTTTAGATTCCAAAAACAGCACAGATTTCTAATGTAAACTCACAGCTTTCTTCAGTGAATTGTGTTTCTTTATTAACATGTTATACTAGTATTTTTTTCTTCTCAGGCTTATGGCATTGTCTGGAAGGCAGTGGATAGAAGAACTGGAGAAGTTGTGGCTGTCAAGAAAATCTTTGATGCCTTTAGAAATCAAACAGATGCACAGGTATGTTTCATGGCTCATCACTCTCCAGCCCTGAGATTAAATTTCAGGTTTTCTGATCACAATTTGTTTATCTGTTCATCACAGTTGTTCTTTATGTGAAAAAAAATTCTTCCTAAAAAAAAAAAAAGCTGATAAAATTTTCTTTTAATCATCCAAACAAGAGCTCTAAATTCCTTTAAAATTTAAAACCAGTAAGATTGTAACCATCAACAATTGAATAATATAGCATTTTACAATGTGCAAGAACAATATCACCCATGAGTAGGTGTGCTTTATACAATTTTTGTAATTACCAGTACTTCTTTTTCAGAGAACATTCCGAGAAATCATGTTTCTTCAAGAATTTGGGGACCATAACAACATCATAAAATTACACAATGTGATCAAAGCAGAAAATGACAGGGACATCTACCTTGTCTTTGAATTTATGGGTAAATCATTTCAATATTTTTATTCATTTATGTTTATGACCATATGAAATTGGTATACCATTATAAAAAGAATCTTAACTTTAATTGTGATAGATAAGATATTTTTAATGGTTCCCGAAGTTTTGACTGTATTTTTCTTTGCAGGGTATTTTGTTGCCAGAAAGTTTACTTTTAAAAATTACATTCTGAAATTTGAAATTATTGTTTATAACAGAGACTGATCTTCACAATGTCATAAAAAGAGGGAGCATTCTGAAGGATGTCCACAAACGTTACATCATGTATCAACTGTTCAAAGCCACCAAGTACCTCCATTCTGGCAATGTCATACATAGAGACCAAAAGGTATGTCATGATAGAGACCAACATAGAGACCAAAAGGTATGTCATAGGTAGAGACCAACATAGAGACCAAAAGGTATGTCATGATAGAGTCCAAAAGGTATTTCATAGATATATTATACATAGAGACCAAAAGGTATGTCATGATAGAGTCCAAAAGGTATTTCATAGATATATTATACATAGAGACCAAAAGGTATGTCATGATAGAGTCCAACATAGAGACCAAAAGGTATGTCATAGGTAGAGACCAACATAGAGACCAAAAGGTATGTCATGATAGAGACCAAAAGGTATTTCATAGATATATTATACATAGATATATTATACCAAAAAGGTATGTCATGATAAGAGTCCAAAAGGTATTTCATAGATATATTATACATAGAGACCAAAAGGTATGTCATACTTAGAGACCAAAATGTATGTCATAGAAAGAGTCCTAAAGGTATGTCATACATAGAGACCAAAAGGTATGTCATACTTAGAGACCAAAATGTATGTCATAGAAAGAGTCCTAAAGGTATGTCATACATAGAGACCAAAAGGTATGTCATACTTAGAGACCAAAATGTATGTCAGAGAAAGAATCCTAAAGGTATGTCATACATAGAGACCAAAAGGTATGTCATACTTAGAGACCAAAATGTATGTCATACTTAGAGACCAAAAGGTATGTCATAGAAAGAGTCCTAAAGGTATGTCATACATAGAGACCAAAAGGTATGTCATAGATACAGACCAAAAGGTATTGTTATTGTTTCAGCAATAACTGTAAATACATATAGACCAAAACAGCAAAAGGTATAATTGATATCATTTCTGCAATAGCTACACATTAATTTTCTGGTTATCATTATTGTATACAAAGAAGTTTTTATCCCTTTGTCCTTAATGCAAGTGGGTAAATTTTAAATATGGTAGTTTCAAAGAAGACAGCATTATATTTTAAACCTTGTCTGTCATGGCAAATTTTAAAATGGGGTAAAACTGTCTACGAGTATGAAAAGTCAAATATCACATGGAGTAAAATATTTGCTGTACATATGCAGTATCTAAGAAATATAATTGCTGATTTTCAATGAAAGTTCTAGAGAAAAGGCCACTGAAAATAAATTGAATATTAAAGATCATTTTATACTGATATCATGGAGATATGTTCAATGTTGAGTTAATGTTTTTCAGCCATCCAATATATTACTGGACAGTGAGTGTGTTGTTAAGGTCTGTGATTTTGGACTTGCCCGCTCGCTGACCCAGATTGGTGTGGATGCTGAGACAGGAGACCCAAACCTGACAGAATACGTGGCCACTAGGTGGTACCGGGCCCCAGAAATCCTACTGGCTTCTCACAGGTACTGCATAAATACCTACTCCAAAATAAATCACCTAATGCATGTCATCAGAATTTTTTAAAAATATGACTTATTCAAAAATATCTCAGTTACAGAGATGAATTATGGTGCTTTTTGTATTTTTGTTGTATTGTTCTTATTGATAAAACTATTTTGGATGTGGATTTCAGGTACACAAAGGGTGTGGACATGTGGTCCTTGGGTTGTATCCTTGGGGAAATGTTGGGAGGGAAACCGCTTTTCCCTGGATCCTCTACTTTGAACCAGATTGAGAAAATTATGAGTACGATTCCTTTGCCATCTAAAGAAGGTATGGTTCAAACTGAAGCTTGTATACATTAAAAATGTACTTTTTTTTTCCTTTTACGACATTTTAAAAAATTTCACTTATTTCTAGAATGCAATATTCTGTCCTAATTTATTTTGTTAGTTTTTAATGGCTTTGAGATCTGTATAATTTATTAAGGAACCCATAGCTGGAAGCTAGATTAGCCCTTATTTTTAAAAAGAAATATTAATTGTTTTGTTGACATTATTTATGATATTCTGTGTGAATACATCATTGGAGTTTGTATCTTTTATGTTAAAAATTTGTAAATTAATAATTATATGCATTGAACTTATAAATTAAATTTTTCAGACATTGACAGTATCAAGTCAGCTTATGGTGCTTCTATTCTAGAAAAAGCTACACTAAAGTAAGTACAATTTAGTATTGAATTTCATCATTAGTGCTTCTTGTAATTTTAATATTAGTAAAGTTTGATTCAAATAAATGGATACTTTTGTTTTTCTGGTATGTTATTCAGAGGGAAGTAAAATAATGCAAATAGCATTCACATGGACCTAATGTATTAGATAATTTAATTTGCAGTTAGTTAATTTAAATTGAATCAAAATTTCCTATGTGAATCTGGATCAAATTTACTTCACAGAAGCTTGTGATTGTTTTGAATTAAACTCACCATGTGAACAAGGCATTAATATATGGCATTTTTTATCAGGTCTAAGAAATCATTAGAAGAGCTGTTACCAGATGCCCCTAAAGATGGCATAGACCTCCTAAAGAGACTGCTCCTGTTTAATCCAGACAAGAGGATTACTGCTGATGAGGCCCTTAGACATCCATATATCTCCAGGTATGATCATAGCAAGTCCAAATATCCAGTAATAAAGCATATTATACCTTAAATGAGTATAAATAAATATATTATAATGAATGTAAATAATGTATAATACTGTGCATCTGTAGCAGTAGACAGTTTCATGTACATGTTCCGGTATATCATCAGGAAAACAAAGCTGTTTTTGTAAATCCCTACAATTTCTGACATTCCCAGGTTCCACAATGCTGCAGAGGAGATCTCATTGAATTATGATGTTGTTCCCCCGCTGAGTGATGACGTTCAGCTGACAGTGGAGGAGTATAGAAACAAATTATATGAGGTAATGAGTCAAAACTGACTGAGAAAAGTATGGGGGAGTGGGAAAATGGTCTTAGGAATATTGTTTACTGATAAAAAGAGGGAAAGTATATACTCAGTCAGTAGAACATTACTTTTTTCTGTTATATTGTCAACATATCTGTGTGATTTTAGATGATAATTCAGAAGAAACAGGAGAGGAGGAGAAGGCGACATGAGATCCGCAGTGCACAGCAGCTGAGGGAGTCCAGCCCTGAGGAAAATCCTCCTCCCAGTGAACCATTTCAGAAAGAGAACACAATGCCTGCTAAGTTTTCATCCTCCAAATACAACAAGCCCGTGGCCGAGGTGCATCCCAGCTCAGCCCCCCACCACCAGTCCTCCTTCACTTCAGGTCAGGGCTTAAACCTCAAAATAAAAGGGTGTCAGTACATAGTCAATGATAATGTTACCAATTTTCCTGTTGATTTTAGAAGTATGGTGAATAAAAATAGGAAAATGAAAAAGATTGTTATAAGACCATGAGAGAATTTTGAGATAATTAACAGAAATTCATATATTTACAATATGATCACAGAAAAAGTGGTGATGGGGGTTTGTTGAATCTTCCAAAAGACTTCACACTTATTAGATGAACCTTTGTCTTTTTTACAGCTTTTGGGAGGACAACACACACTGACTCAAAAGACATGAGGTCGAGGCAGCAGAGCCGACAGAAGACGTACGACCAGATTCCAGCCTCACATTCCAGTACTGCTGCTGTAAGTCAGGACAAACTGTCACTCAGGGGGCGGTACTCTGTACTTACTATATAGATAATACTTCATCCTGTATCAATCTGGTGTTTCTGAAAGATTTTTCTTTCAACAAATCAATGATGCATTCTGTCTAGCCAGCTATATTTGTTTAATAAATACTAGATAGCAATGGAAAAGATGGTGGTATCTCTGGGGGTCACATAAAGATGTCAATGAGAGAAATAACTTGTCTGGGGAAATTAACATACCTGGTATACTGATTTAATGGGCTTTTGTTAGGAAATATTGTATCATGAATAAAAAAAAAAATTCACCAAGCTGATTACTTATAGATGAGCTAACATGCATGTACGTTAATCAATTTCTTATTTTTTGCCTATTTTGAAAAGATGGGGGTGAGCTTAACGTATATTTTTGAAAGGAGTTAACATTCCAATCATTGGGGTAAAGTTTACCTATGTATTGACACAGATGCAGTTGTATGACATTTTTGTTCGGGCACAAAATCCAAGACTTCAAACAAACCCATTCCTATTGGGTAGAAACCAGGTGAGACAGGTCTTCTGATTGGCTGGATTTCAGGCAGAGCTTACTCATATACGACTAGCATGGCCGTTAGCTAGATCTCACATTTCCTGTCTTGTGTATTTGTATCTTGTCCGCCCTAACTTCTATACACACATATTTTAAATATTTACCTTTTAGTTTTTTGTTTTTTTTTTTAACCCCATTTATGAATTTATTTCATGCATTTCTTGCCTCCAGTAGTTTAATAAAAATGGTATCCAATATTTTGTGCAGAAGTCATTTTTCATTGAGGATATTGTATTTTGACCTAATGAAATAAAACTTCGTCTATTATTAAATAGAGGGTCAGTTTTAAGCTGAATTTTATTTAAAAGATAATTTAATATGTGTGTTCTCCTAATACTTTTGTTGTGATCCTTTAGAATAGACAGGATGTGTCATTAATACTTTAATACTTATATATATAAAAAGCTATTTAGAAAACTAGATAATATGTTATGGTTTTTAGCTCTACTGGTCAGAGACCAGAAGAGCTTATGCGATAGTAATGTGTCCGGCGTCCGTCCGTCTGTCCGTCTGTCTGTCTGTCTGTCTGTCTGTCTGTAAACAATTTTTCAAAATGCTACTCCTCCTACAGTTTTGATCTGATTTCAATATAACTTGGCATATAAGTAGACTATACTAAGATACATAATTCTGTGTATCGGATTTTGATTTCGACGAACGGTGTTGGCATTGTTACTAAAAATAGAAATTTCTGTGAAATTCTTTAAAATGCTACTTCTCCTACAGTTTTGGTCTGATTTCAATATTACTTGGCACACAAGTAGACTACACTAAGATACATAATTCTGTGTATCGGTTTATGATTTCGACGAACGGTGTTGGCGTTGTTACTAAAAATAGAAATTTCTGTGAAATTCTTTCAAAATGCTACTCCTCCTACAGTTTTGGTCTGATTTCAATATAACTTGGCACACAAGTAGACTACACTAAGATACATAATTCTGTATATCAGTTTTTGATTTCGACAAACAATGTTGGCGTTGTTACTAAAAATATAAATTTCTGTGAAATTCTTTCAAAATGCTACTCCTCCTACAGTTTTGGTATGATTTCAATAAAACTTGGCATATAAGTAGACTACACTAATATACATAATTCTGTGTATCGAATTTTGATTTCAACGAACGGTGTTGGCGTTGTTACTAAAAATAGAAAATTCTGTAAAATTCTTTCAAAATGCTACTCCTCCTACAGTTTTGGTCTTATTTCAATATAACTTGGTATATAAGTATAAGACTACACTAAAATATATAATTCTGTGTATCGGTTTTCGATTTCGACAAATGGTGTTGGCATTGTTACTAAAAATAGAAATTCTGTGAAATTCTTTCAAAATGCTACTCCTCCTACAGTTTTGGTCTGATTTCAATATAACTTGGCACACAAGTAGACTACACTAAGGTACATAATTCATTATATCCGTTTTTGACTTCAATGAACATTATTACCTTGGTTAATAAAGATAGCAATTTCTGTTACTCTCAAAATGCTACTTCAAATACAGTTTTAGTCTGATTATAATATAATGTGGCATACAAGTAGACTACACTAAGAACATAAAGAGACTTATTCAAGGATCATTATTCTCTTTTTTGCTAGTGTAAAGTTTCATTTCCCAACTGCTTAAGTACTTTCCTCTTCCTTTGCTATAAGTACAGACCAGTAGAGCTTCAGTCTCGACAGAGACTTCTGGTTCCTTTCTTTATATGCTATGGGTGATATGTCCTTAAAGTACAGAGAACTTAAACCAATGAAAAAGGCTTGGATTTATTAATGAATATTTATGTATTATATCATCAGAAATTTTAGAATGTGAAAATTTTGACTAAATAACAGAGAACAAAGATATAAAGCCAATAAAGACTTTTCTATAAAGGTTTTGATTAATTTTAGAATGATATTCTGACATTACATGTTTGTAGGTTTTAATGAGATGATCTTTTTTGTAGATGCAGGATCCTTATCCCCCCATATCAAAGAACCGACAAACATCGGCCCCCGCGGCCACAAGAGCTGGATCTCGACCCACCTCTAAATATGGTAATCAGCCATCCATGACAAAAGACGACCGAGGAGGATTATCCGTCACCAGCTCTCGACTGGTAAGTCTCGGCCGGGACTTTATATGTTGCATGAGAGATTCTATCAGATATTGTACTGAGTCCTCAAAATTAGCTCCTACTCTCCCTGTCTCTTTGGTTCAGTTAATGTGCTGCTTTTAATTAGAGGAAATTTACACTGGTTTTCCAAGGAAGTCTTTCTGATTTCCAGGTAATGCCATTAATTAAATACCCAGCATTAAAACCTCTCTCCCTTCTCTTTCAGTCTGGTAGCAAAAAATAGCGTATGTTGACATTGAATTCACATACACAGATTATCCTTTGATTGCCAGTGATTTCTGAACTTAGAAAATGCTATTGATTTGTTCTGTGATTAACTTTCAATCTTTATTTTCCTTTTTGTTGTTAGGAATTATCAGGATGTGATTCACTTGCTTTGTAAATTGTTGGCTTTGTTTTGTTATTCCTCCAACTAACAAATGAAGGGTTTTTTTGTTTTTTTTTTTATTAAGGACCACAAACAAGAATTAGAAACAAGTTATTGAATTGAATCATAGGGGATTCAATTTTTATATTCTGCCACTAATAATGATTTTATTTTTGTTGATGTGATATGTCATCCTGATAATTTCTTATTGACATGTGTATGCAGTGTTCAGGCTAGATATTAACCCACTCTAACTTTCCTATTTCTTGAAGTGTGTGCGTCACTATACACCTCTTCATCTTGTTTGTTTTTGTTACCTCCCTTTGTGTTGATTCTAACATTGTTCTGGGTGAATCCATTATTTGGGCTCATTTTATCAACCAGAAGCCTGATAAAAAAAACTCTTCTTGCGTATTGTTTCATGTGCTTTTCTGGCCTGAATACTGTTTAGGTGCCATTTTATGTGTATTTTTTCAACACTGTATAGGGTAAATATTCTTTAGCCTTTTTTGTAAATAGAGAATTGATCTCAATACTTTTGGATAAAGGTGTAGAAGCTGGCAAGCAAACTGAATTTAGAATTTGAATGGGAGCAAGATTTGATCCAAAGCACTGAATAAAAACCCTATACAGCAACTTTGAAAAAAATTAAAATTCAGGTAACATGATCATGCGGATTTTCTCTACAGTTAGGCATTGGTCGGTTGATAAAATGTGCAATGGACCCACCACTACCACCCATAAGATCTTCATATCAAGCATATCGTGATTCGTACCATGACCCATATCAGCGTGGGGGTGGTAACTCGTACCATAATATATTCTACGATTCATATCAAGAGGGGGATGTAAGTGCAAGTGTGGCTGATGCTTTGTGCTCTTCTTCTAATCATGCACACATACATGTTGGTTGTAGTTTGCAGCTATCATAAACACTGCACAAAAATGTTAGCTAAAGATTTATAGATGAAGAATTTGATATTTTACCATTTTCAATATTCCCATCCAATTAGATAATAGATATATTTTACATTTTAAATCATTTCAGTGTCATCTAGGAATAACATTCTAATAGTTAACCACATTACCAGTTATCCTTCAAGTTATTTTCTGAACCAGAGCTATGGGTCAATGATCATCAGGGTCAAACCTTGGTCATGACAAAATTATGTCACTGAAAAATAGTTCCAACTCTTTCTTCACCAAGCACTATAATCTTGAAGTGAAATTTGGGGGTCTTTTGGATTATACCTTTAAAAAAAATCAAGGTTTTTATGTCATAGCAGTTGTTAGCAAAAGAAAGATTCCTCACTGTTTGATGGTCCTGGGTGCCAAGTAAAGGTCTAAATTTGAGGTACTAGCTATAACAGTATAGTAAAGTCCTATATGAATGAAATATTCTTGCAAGGAAAATATTAAAAGCTACAGACAATAAATTTTCAGATACATATAGACATCATTCAATATTATGAAATCTCATTTCTACCCTAGTTCTATCTAATTTTCAAAATTTGAACTATGGACAAATAAATATTAAAGCTAGATCCTAGGTACCTCTGTACAGGTTTGCATTAACTTCAATACATGATCCATTGCTATGAGGGTGTTTTTCATCATTTGTTAAATTGTAGAATAGAGCTTTTACTTCTGTTTATAAAATGTGTGTTGAATGCTCTGGATTTGTTTGATTTGGCATTACACATATTCATATTCTTAATTTTATTATCTCAGACTCCCAGATATTTCCAATGTTTGTGACCTTCTTAACATCTTTGAGGTATTTGAGATATTGAAGTTTGACTGTATAAAACAGTACAAATTATAATAGAATCTTTTGAGGGGAAGGATTTGTATTTTACAACATTGTGATGTGGTGCCTCATGTTTTATGAATTTATTCAAAATGAGTAAAACTTCAAATAATGATTTAGCTTTCAGCTATATAGCACCTGTGACATCAACTATTTTTATGCGCCCGGATCGATAGATCTGAGGCGTATATTGTTTTTGTCCTGTCTGTCTGTCTCTCTGTTTGTTTGTTTGTTTGTTTGTCCACAAACTTTAACCATTTCCATAACTTTTGAATCATGAAAGATAGAAACTTCATATTTGATATGCATACTCCACTAATTAAGCTCTTTCAAATGACACCATGTTCAATGACTTTCTGACCTTGAGTGTGACCTATATGCTAAAAATAGCTTTTTGTCTGAAAACTTTAACCTTCCCCATAACTTTTGAACCATGAAAGATAGAGACTTCATATTTGGTATGCGTACTCCACTAATGAAACTCTTTCAAATGACACAAAGGTCAGTGACCTTGTGACCTTGACTGTGACCTATATGTTAAAAATATCTTTTTTGTATGCAAACTTTAACCTTCGCCATACCTTTTGAACCATGAAGGATAGAGACTTTATATTTGGTATGCTTACTCAACTAATAAAGCTTTTTTAAATGAGCCAAGGTAAATGACCTTGTGACCTTGACTGTTACCTATTTGTTAAAAATAGCTTTTTCCAATTTTGTTGCTGCCGGGCGCATAGTGTTTTACAAACACATCTTGTTACCATATGATATGAATGTATATTTTTCTGTTTTATTGAACAGTGATTAAATTTTGCAGCCCTGACTTTGGTCCTCCAATCATAACATTCAAATTTTTATGTTTTTTGGTTTTTGTTTTGGTTTTTTTGTTTGGCTGTCTGTGCTATTGGTAACTATGACGAAACAGGATTTTAATATTTTGATATAATATTTGATACATTTTTGGTAGAAGCACATTTAGAAATACAGCATATGATATAGAAATAATACCGTCATAAGTTACATTTTAACCAATTTTGCATGATGCAGTTTATTAATTTAAAAAAAGAAATAAAGAAATGCTTCATAAGTGCTTATTACTTGATATAAATATTTTATATAACAGATACTGGTAGATTTTTCTTTCCACGTCTTGATCCCTGTAGACTTCATGTAGTTCCCATGTTAAAATCACAGGAAATTTATTAAAATTCACTACATGTTATTGTTGAAAACACTAAAATGTACTTGTGTAATTATTAAATTTATCATAAGATGTAATTAAAATTTACTAGATGGAATAAAATTTACTACATTGAAATAACATTTAAAATGACTTACAAATTCACTCCATTTAATTTACTGTAAACCAACTATTATTCGTGTCATCTTTTATTTGCAATTCATCAGTGTGAAATCAATCTTCGACGATCAATTTTCACAAGAGAAGAAATATGCTCTACAAATACAAAGCAAAATAAATTATTAATATTTGTGACTAAAAGTAAGTCAGGAAATTCATGGATATTTCTTGCAGGGGAATAAAAGTTGATTTACAGTAATTGCTGTGTTTTTGCAATTTAAATTCACTGCATTGCAATTGGAGTAACAGATCTGTGGCAACATACATACATTACTTAAGAGCATTACATGTAAAGGGAGGAGTTGCTATATTTTTTTTAAATTTCATTATTGTTTTTCTTGCATGAAGCCAATATTCCCAATAATTTAAAATAGGCTCTTTTGCAAATTATTTTCCATTTTTTTTAAATTGATTTTCTTTATAAGAGTTTATTCTTTTTTTTTAATATTGTTAAGAATTGAAATCTATCCTCTAATAGAAATTTAATTATATACATATTATTATATATTCTTGAGTAAATAGAACTGATTTCTGTCAGTAAAGTTTGATGATTTTTTGTTATTTTAAGGTACCAGGACAAAGGCCAGTATCTGCTACAACCCAGAAACAGAAACCAATCTATGGAAAAAAGCAGTTCAACAATGCAATAAATAACCCTTCCCATGGTGCCCCTAAAGCTTACTTTGGAAGCTACACCCAGAACGTGGGAGTTATCTCCTCCTCTGGACTAGCCGCTTTACAGGGAGGTAAAAAATCATGATGGTCTTCTGCAGAGCACTCCGTCTCCATGGAAACATATCTGCTGTGTACTTATTATCTGGCCAATCAAAATTCATCAGGTTTTGAGATTTTCTGTTAGACTGTCTAGTGGATCTTTAGAAATAAGACTTGGTAATTTATAGTACAATACATTTTTCTGGAAATATTGATTTTGTGTAAAGTGTATGTCTAATATACAGGCATAGACATTGAAAATTATTTTGATATTTTAAACAAGAGACATTGCAGGGATTATATTGGAGTGGAATATCGTGAACATGCTTACTCAGATTGCCATACAGAAGTTTAATCAGTTTGGATGGTACTTCAATATTCTGCATTTAATGATCTCTTTAAATGTTTCTGTATCCAGTTATTTCACTCAGTTTATCTCCCTTCACTCTTTGCACTTTTCATGAAATGTCTAATGTACTTTATCATCTACAACATTTTAGAAGTTGGGTTTCAGTAACTTATTGTACAAAAAGATTATTGCTCTAATACATGTTTAAGTACTTAGAGTAACTGAGTGGGATTGTTTCTTCTTAATCTTTGCAACTGAAGAAATCTTTACAATTAATAAAGAATTTTGTGGGTTTTTTTTTCTAAAGATCTACATTAATAAAATTAAACCCTAGATTTTTTTCAATGTTCTTTATTTTTAATGAATACAAAACATCTTGAACTTTCAGAAAAAAATTGATTAAAAATTTTTTTTTTAAAAATCATTTGCATTTTTGTAGATTATTGAGAAATATATCCCTTGTTATAATGTGTTCATTAGCTTGTACATAATAGCATTTCTTGCATGATGCAACCATCCAAGGAAACCTCATCATATAGCAGTATTAAACCCATTGACGTACATAACACAACATTCCAAAAAAAGTCTGGTTTGCAAGGTTATTAATAATGCTAGAGCAGTTTGGTTTGTAAAAGGTTGTTTGTTAGAATTTGGAAATAGTGTCAAAATTCAAACATTAATGTTTTTTGACATAAATGGAACAAAGTCCAGTTAAATGAGCTGGATTCTTACTTAAAGTTGTCACAAGTTGATGTTTTTATTGCCATTTTTTTAATCAATGATGTGTTTAAATGAATATCATTGTAACATGTTGCAATGTTGATACAGTTTTATCGTATAAAATTGTTATTCATGCTTAAATTAAAATTATAATCATTTGCATATTTAAGAATATACATTAAATGATGTGTATGTAAAGTAATCATATTTATGAAATATTTATTGTGAGTTTTTGTTAAAATCATATTCATATACATGTAACATTTATTGTGTGATTGATTTTTTAGTTGTATTTGAACATGTATTGCTTGCATGCTTTTTTTTTTTTTCATTTTACCTCCTTTAAATAGATTGATGAAAAAATGACTTATTGTGTGTGAAGTTGTGCGAAAGAATCCAGAAACATTTTTATGTCATGTGAATGCATGTGAGAGCATGTTGTTTTTTTTAAATCTCTCTCTAATCACTTTTCCAAATCAGTTTTGATTTTAAAATACTTTTTTAGAATAAAAAAAAAATCTTATGGTTCATTGAAGTATCACCCATTAACTAATAGATTTCAGGTAACATCATTTGGGGGGGGGGGGAGTTGACAGGCATATATTTAAATATGATATTTAATAGGAAAAACAATTCTGAGGTGCATTTGATTTATAATATTGTGCATATGAGAAGAAATAGCCATGTATAAGCTCAAGTTTTGGCAAACAGAAACATTAGAGAGAGAGAGAGAGAGAGAGAGAGAGAGAGAGAGAGAGCAAATGCATGTTAAAACCTGGATTGTACATATATATTGATATGTGAGACAGTGGCACAAGTTATATGAATCCATTCTTATTGGTATGCATATTGGAGGAGCTCTATTTCTCAAATTTTAGCCACATCTTTTGATTTTATTGTTATAAATGCTAATTCCAATGATATGTGATATATTTAAATCCTTGTGATTTTATAGCAGTTGATAATTTTATTGTATATAGAGTCTAATCACCAACATTCCGTCCTATACAATGTTATCATCTTTTATTGAATGTTAAACCTAGCATTATATTTTTAGTTGTATTTTTGTGACACATCAGCTGCCCTTTTTTTTTATAAGTAGGTTCACGTTGAATAGTGTCAACCTAGAACTCGAAACTGCTACATGAAAGAAAAAATAAAGGTGGATGAAACAAGAAATAGTTTCTTTGATGTTTTATGTTTAGGTTATACTGAGTATCCCTTAATTTGGGGCACCCCATTTTCCAAGGGAGAAAGTTGTATTATCTAATATGTCACATTCAAGATGTGAGATCAAAAGTGAGCTCATCTAAGTTTTATCCCCCCAGAGCAGTTTGTCACAGAAAGCACTCAGAATCCCAGCAGAGAGTGGATCTTGTATTTGGATGTAGATGATACAAACTCCTTTTTTTTGTTCCCCCAAATCAAGAAAAAATCAATTATTTAATATGTAAAATCCAGATTAAGTTCTATTTTTCATTCCAAGTTCCTCAATAATGCCCTATTAAGGCATAACATTTTTTATTGTTTGATAAAGGTGATAGTGAAAGGACGAAAATTTGAACATAATATTTCAGAGAGATACTATTTGCTCCATTTAACCCTGAAATAAATTCAAACAAGAAGTGTTTTACAGTTTGTGATACACTGGTGCCTCTGTAAGGCAGCTTATGGCTAAGGTGAAAGTTTCTCAAATGCAAGTCAAACTGCAAGATCTCAAGATCAGCAATGTTGATACCCAAAGAAAGGACTTGTCTCAGTGAATATATCTATGGAAAAAAAAAATGAAAGCCCAAGCACCAACCATTCAAAAGTTAAGGACAAGGTTAGAGATTCCTGTATTAAAAGTGGGTAAAATTCCAAGATTAAGACAAAGGAATTGAAATTGATGGTACTCAGGAAGGCCTTGTCATAAGAAACACACATGTGAAATATTAAAATCCTAGCACCAACTATTCAAAAGTTTTTTCTAAAGTAGGTCAAACTCAAAGGTCAAAAGGAAAACATTGTTGGTGTCCAAAGGAAGGCCTTGTCACAAGGAATACATCCGTAAAATATGAAAGCATTAGTCCTAATTGTTCAAAAGCTTTGGCCAAGTTTAAAAGTTTTTCAAAATTGTGTCAGAATGTTAGGCTAAGATCAAATGGAAAAACCCATGGAAGATCTATCACAATGGATACACATATGAAGTATTAAAACCTAAAATCAACTACTAGTACTCAAAAGTTATAGCCATGGTTAAAGTGTAGTAATTTTTTCGAAAAGTGGGTCAAACAGTCCAAGGCCAAGCGGTCAAATATGTTGGTACCAAAAGAAAGGTCTTATCACAAAGGATCCACGTCATGTTAGATATGAAAGTCAGAACCATTTCCTTCATTCATAATTTCGCGAAAATCGCTATATAGCATTTCCGCCATGGACAAGGGCATTATTGTCACCATGACGTTTCGTCATATTTGATTCAGTTATTGGTGAAATAGTTATATAAAATTATTGAAAGAAAAAAGGATTCTTTCCAATGTAAAAGACGAATGCTAACAAACCTACAAGGAAAATATGATTTCATGAGAATTACATAGAAGTAAACCTCTTTAATTTTTACAACTTATAAAGTCAACTTTATCATATACATTAAAGGCTGCTCTTCCATTATTTTAGTTCCCCGTTATCAGCCGCTTAAAGGCACCGTGTTGACATTATGATTGTATGTAAATATTCAATCCTCTCTTGCTTTCGAGGTATCATCGTTTGTTGCAGTAATAAGCTTATTTGGGTAATTATTGTCAAAATCCCTGTAAATAAATAAACAAAACTTTATCGCCTAAATTGTCATAATTCCATCCTGATGACCGTTACACAGCACGGGGGCTCCTCGGTGGGGGATTCTTATTAAGTGCTAATACTGTCCTGTAACCAAACAAAAGTTCAAAATTTTAAAGTTACGTTTAACACAAAAATATATAAATTTTGCATATTTTGAACATTATAATGAAATAATACTGACACCAAAACGGTCTTTGATTCCTTATATACGGCATCCCTTATTTTGCCTCATATCTCCCTTATGAGTAACGCAAAACAACTTTCCCACCCAAAATATAGTCTGTCCTAAATGAAATATAGTTCCGCAAGTCAAAAGGGAACCTATTCAGGATATTTTGTGAGCACATGTAAAATATTTATGAAAAATGGGAATTTATGTGTTTTTAATGACTTGTCTTCTTGCTATCCACGTCTTTGCTGAAGATGACGTCATACTTGCTGTCTTGGGAAATGCTGTAGTTTTGGATTGTAAGATTCCCCAGACAGACACCATTATCTGGGATCGACCAGACGGTACTATCATCGCCATCAAAGGCGTCCTACACCGGTCTGTGAACGCCAGCAGGTACTCGGTACAGAACACCACCTTGCTGCAGTCCCTCAGCATCCACAATTTGATGCTCCAAGACGACGGTGTGTACAGGTGTTACGATCTCACGGACGCCGGTATTAAACAGAACTTCACCGTCAATATATTTGGTAAGAATTAAATGACCCTAAAATATAGTTCACATGAAAAGAATTCTTAAGTTGCAATAGTTTACAGTAAGCATTTCATATTTTGGAATATGATTGGTGTAGCTGCAATAATGTAGCCCTCTCCTTTTTTTTTGGGGGGGGGGGGGGGGGGGGGGGGAGAGGTGAAAATAACAGATAAAAAAATTTGAGGGCTACATTATTGCAGCTATGATTGGTGGTGTCCTGAGGAAACGAACAGGGTTTATGATGTTTTTGTTTTTTTTACCCTGAGGACAAATTAGGGTCGAAAAAGTTTTTTTTTCTTTGAAAAAAACTCGTTTAGTCCTTTTTTTCCACTTACATGCATGTAGTAGCCAAACATTTTCAAGATATGATTGGTGATGGCATTTTGATCTGCAATAATGTTTGAGAATTTTTTTTCATAGGGAAGACGCTACTGGGGCCAAAACACTACAAGTAAAAATTGATCCAAAGAGCTCTTATATTTTAATGAACTAGTCATATTAACGTTTAGAACACAAATGGTTAGACCTCGTACATGTGCAATAAAGTTTGCATTTTAAATTTTTGCATTCCAGAGGCCATTTGGAGGCCCACACTTCTAAAACAAAATCCGGGAATTTTGTTATCCTGATCGTCCGTCTGTCTGTCACTCTTTCTTCTTCTAGTCCTCTTAAATTTTCAGAAGTAACTTATTCATCTTCAAGGGTATGAGACCGGTAGATTATCATGTTCTATGTATGTTACATGTAGTATGATTTCAGAACCTTAATTTCTTCCTGAGGAGTTATTAAATAGAAGTTAAAAACCGTTTCTCTCTTCACGAAAACCAAGTTCCCAGAACTCCTCTAACATTTTATGATATCGACAAATAATCTCAATTAAAATGATTGGTGATGTCCCATATATGAACAATGATGGTTTGGAATTTTCATTATGAACCTATATTTACAATTTTCATTTTCACATAAGGGGTCAAAAGCGGGTCTAGTGTGTTTTTTTTAACCTTGTTCCCCGAGTTTTTCATAAATTTTCTGCATTCGCCATTTCATCTTTTGCAAAATGATTGATTGGAGAGGTCTTGCAGATATATGTGTAATGAGGTTGTTGAAATTTTCATTTGCACCCAGAGAACCAAATGTGGGTCGAAAATGACGTTTTCAAGTTCTACTTTTGTCTGACCTTTTTTTCTTTTTTCTTTACAGAAAAAAATCTTGATACGCCTCTCAGTCTGTTAAGGTCATATGCATCGTACCTTACCTACCGATAATTTTTAAGATTATAGTGCCAAAAGATATTCGTATACCAAAATAAAAATGTCTTGTGTTATTTTGCAAAAACAAGCTCAATGTTGTCAGACGAGTGTTTAATTCAAGGAATGAAAGCTGAACTTAAATAAAATGAAAGTTTTTGAACCACTCAAAGAAAAACATTCAAATATTACTCAACATATATTCCAGTCATCAATATCAAAGTCCATAAAACAATACAAAAAAGGAGCCGAGCAAACACGGACCTCTAAAAAATCAGAGGTGGGATCAGGTGCCATGGAGGAGTGAGCATCCCTTGCTGACCGGTCACAACCGCCTTGTGCTCCTTGTCATGATCGGGAAATAACAGGAAAATCCGTCGTCAATTCAGTGTATAAATAATGGACTAAGCCATTTGGTCAGTCAGCATTTGACTCAATGATAAATTGTATTTGCTGACAAGGTCACTGTATATACCAAAGAACTTACGAAATGATGACTTTAAACGAGACTGCTGATATTCTTGTTTCATCAACTTGTTTGTCAATAATTTACCTCGTTTTAAAATTGTTCATACGTAGAACATGCTCTTGCGTATCGAATGAACTGAGATTTATAAACGTCGTATGTAGGTGATGAAGGTATATTGCTGTAATGAATAAGGGAAGTTGACTATAGAAAAGTTTGTCATCATGTTTATCATAGAGCTTGGTTGTTACATTACCATTAACGTCTTTTTCAAGTAAAATATCCAAGTATGAAACGGAAACAAATAATTTTTTCATCCAAATATGCTTTAGAAAAGGTGTACAGCACCATAATACGTATATAGATAATAAATGAGTACTCTCATGTACATAGCACACGGGTCCTTCGAGCATTAGTCTTTAACTTCGATTGCTTGTGTTCTTTAAAATCAGAATTCACTTCATCACAGTCTTCTACACCGACAGCGAATTTATTATTGAGATCATTACAACTATAACATAGGCATTGCCGAAACATTGAAACTAAATTTGATATATGTGTATTTATGTGAATTACGAGGGCTGTTCAATAAATAATGTCCTGAACTTTATGACATACAATACAATTATCATATGATAAGCTTGACTTTTTCGTATTATTGAATCTTTAATGATTTTAATAACAATTTATGTCACCACTTTTCATCACATAGTTTCATTGTGCGAAGCTGGGAAACAAGGGCTATTCGAGACACTGCATTAAAAATGAATGGTAAAGAATCAGTAAACTAGAGTGAAATTAAACGCTTCATTTAGGCTGCTTAAGAACCCCAAAGAAATATTCACTGAAATATGTAAAATTTACGGCAACCAATGTATGTTTTATAGACAAATGAGCAGGTGGATTTCAATGATAAAAAAAAATTATAATGGGCATCAAAAATGGGTACCGTCCTTGCCAACAAAAATTATAACAACTATTGTACTGTTTGCCAAATTTTAACAAATAATCACTGATGAAGTATGATTGACTTTAAGACACATAGCAAATTTGATAGACATCATTTCGGGAGTAGTTCACACTGTTTTAAAGAAAGTATGATTGACTTTAAGACACATAGCAAATTTGATAGACATCATTTCGGGAGTAGTTCACACTGTTTTAAAGAAACGTTTGACAGTAAAAAAGGTTAGTATTGAAAGGTCACCCTATGTTTTGAAAACAACGGCATGTAAGAATATCTCAAGAATTATTTTAAGATATCAGTAATTGTGGTTTTCCACGTTTGTCTGACATTCAGACGGATAATGAAACTTGTATCTATTGCTTAAAACCCTCGAAACAAAATTTACAATCAGATGTAATTGACAAAAACAGCAAAGGTCTGAGAAGAGCAAAGAATTGCAAGAGCACAAAGACAGATTTATATGCATTTTTTTTAAAAATATTAGTGGTCTTGTTGTTCAAATTCATATTCGGGGAGGCAGTTTAATTTCTGGAAGAGTCACCAAAAAAATCGAAAGGTTAATGAGAGGAAGGAACCAGAATCAGGAATCCCCTTCATAAAATTTCTTCATGACAGCGTCCAAACCCGCACGCCCTGAAGAGTAAAGGAGTTTTTTGGGATAAACAGAATTCAGAAAGTTAATTTATTTCTCATTAACAATATTCGCCAAATCTTTCGCCTTTTGACTTGTTTCATTTTCCAAAATTGAAAAAACACCTTTCAGAAGGAAGAAAACGAGTCCAGGAAATCATAAGATCTGCCATTTTCCAGTATACTAAGGGTCACGCCCAAAAATGAGTTCTAAAAACAATCAGAAATTGGATAACAAATTTTACGGACATGTGTTTTAATTAAGAGAATATTAGTCTTAAGTTAAATCATTAAGACTTAATCATTGAAAAGCGTCTTTTTCTTCTTTCCGAGCACCGAGAACATTATTTATTGAACAGCCCTCGTATATATTATTTCTTCTCCACAAGGTTTTTGAATTTTCATTTTCACCTGGTGGGTCAAACAGAGGTCGAGGAACATCGCCTTTTTTAGGTCACCTTAGTAAACTCAGGTGACCTATTGCTATCCGTTTCGTCCGTCGTCCATCGTGTGTTAACATTTGAACATTTTCAGCTTCTTCTCTGCAACCACTCAACCAGTTTTAACCATTTTTGGCACAAAGCATCTATGGGTGAAGGGGATTAAAAAAAGTGAATTTCATGGCCCCTGCCCCCCTGGGGCCCGAGGGGTGGGACCAAAACCACTAAAATTAATGCAATCTTTAAAAATCTTCTTTATTCCTGGACATCAAGCAGTCAAACTGTTTGCGTGATTATAATCAGCATTGAGTCCTCCGCCAAAATTGTGAAATTCAAGGCCCTGGGGTCAGGGGTTCTAATGCACGGGCGGGGCTATAGAGATTATATAGTGAAAATGCATTATTTCTTTGAAAATCTTCTTCTCTGCTCCTGGGCATAAAATAAACTAACCAAGTACACAGTTATGTTGAATTAGGCTGCTTCTTACAAAATTGTGAATTTCATGGCCATTGGAATCAGGGGTTCTTAGGTGCTAGGGCGGGGCTATATAGATTATATAGTGAAAATGCATAAATTCTTCAAAAATCTTCTTCTCTTCTCCTGGGTACTTAATAAACAAACCAAATACATAGTTATGTTGAATAATGCTGCCTCTTCGAAATTTGTGAATTTCATGACTCCGGGATTAGGGTTTCTGGTGTTAGGGTGGGGCTCTATCGATTATGTAGTGAAAAAACACTGATTCTTTAAAAATCTTCTCCTCTGCTCCTGGGCATTAAACCAGTGAACTTTGTACATAGTTATGATAAGGAAGGATGCTTCTTCCAAACTAGTGAATTTCAGGGCCCCTGGATTGGGGGTTCTTAGGGTGGGGCTTTGTTGATTATATAGTGAAAAATACATTAACTCTTTTACATGTGTAAAAATCTTTTTCTCTGCTCCTGGGTATTAATTAAACTAATCAAGTACACAGTTACATTGAATAAGGCTGCCTCTTCCAAAACTTTGAATTTCTTTGCCCCAGGGTCAAGGGTTCTGGTGTTAGGGTGGGGCTCTATTGATTATATAGTAGTGAAAATACATGAATTATTGAAAAATCTTCTCCTCTGCTCATGGGTATTAAATCACTGAACTATGTAAATAGTTATGATGAGGAAGACTGCCTCTTCCAAAATTGTGAATTAAACTAATCAAGTACACAGTTACATTGAATAAGGCTGCCTCTTCCAAAACTTTGAATTTCTTTGCCCCAGGGTCAAGGGTTCTGGTGTTAGGGTGGGGCTCTATTGATTATATAGTAGTGAAAATACATGAATTATTGAAAAATCTTCTCCTCTGCTCATGGGTATTAAATCACTGAACTATGTAAATAGTTATGATGAGGAAGACTGCCTCTTCCAAAATTGTGAAATTCAGGGTAACTGGATCAGGGGTGTTGGTGTTAGGGCAGAGCTCGAATGATTATATAGTGAAAATGCATGATTTCTTTGAAAATCTTTTCCTTTGCTCCTGGGTATTATGCCAATGATTTAGTACATATTAATGATGATGAAATGTGCCTCTTCTAAAATGGACAATTTCAGGGTCCCTGGATCAGGGGTACTTGGGGGGGGGGGGGGGCTTCATAGTCTGAAAATGAATTAATGCTTTGAAATCTGCTCTTCGGTAGTAATCAACCATTTTATGTTGAAATAAAATTCATGATAAAATTTCCAAAATTTTGAAATATGTGGCCCCAGGGTCAGTGGTTCCTGTGGGGTGGGGTGCACAACTGGTTATAAAGTGGAAATGCATTTTCTCTTTGTTACTCTGATCTACCTCTGGGTATTAAGTTACCAAAGTAAGCAAGCTAAGTGTATAGTTATGATAAGCAATTGTGCCTCTTTCAGAATTGTGAATTTCATGGCTTTTAGTTTAAAACGCGAGGCAATTCAATTGTTGGAAAGTTGTTACATGATACTCTGGTGACCTATAAGGCCCATGGGCTCTTATTTATTTTACACAAACCCTATTCTCTCATAAGTTAACGCAGTGACAATTTCATCTTTTGCAAAATGATTTGAGGTGTCTTGTAGATGTGCAATAAGATAAAAAAAAAAAATCATTTCACCACTGGGACCAAAAAGTAGAGGGTCAAAAATTCCATTTTCAAGTTTCATTTAAAGCCTATTCTGAAACTCCCACCTTTAAAATCAGAATTTACATCATAAAAATGTGTTATTTCAGACCAAAATTAAATTAATTGTTTGAAATAATAATATTAATAAGAGGTCTATGGTTTCATGTTCATCTGTGCATTTTATGATCAATTTCATACATGTGTACATATTTTATGTATCGCTGTCCAGGAACTAGGAAGCTAGCGTTCATTTAGAGGCCAACACTTCCTAAAATATTGACACGAAAGGTGGTTTGATAATGATTGAATTAGAATTTAGATTGGTAATGTTATAAACCTTGGTAAGACAGAGAAGCAAACACATTGTGTAATTATAACTAAATATAAAAACTAGAGGTACTGTGAGCAATGAGCTCACTAAATGATACCCCTCACCTCCCATATGAATATAATGGCAGTGTCCATGTTTTGCTATGGAAAACCCAAAATATGTGTCGGATCAAAAAGTAGAATAGAAAATGCACAATGACAATATGTAATAAAGATTCTGTGAAAGTCTCATTAAATTTCATTTAGTGGAATGAGAGGAGTTATTTGGGTACCCCCAAACAATTTAACAAATTGAACAAACCAAGCTGGACATGAATATTACTAAAAATATAAAAGTACATAGTTGTAATTCACATATGTTATTATATTCAAAAGACACTTCAGTATACTTTATCTTTGTTTTTCTAGTCCGCCCTACTCAGTTTTCTGTTAAGGGGCCAGTGGGAACTGTCAACGAGGGTTCTGTACAGACTCTGACGTGCCGGGCGGACGCCGGGATCCCCCCGCCGTTTGTGCGATGGCACTTATTAGGTAAGTCGATTCCAGATAATCAAATGCATCCAAACATATAGAGAATTCACAGAACGTCATTACTGCATGATAATTGCATCTTATTTTACTAAAAGGTCCAAATACAAATGGAACAACATACACAGGATTTAACTCGGATACTAAACATCCTAATGGAACGATATTACGAGTGAATACCCTACGACTTCAAATCAGCAGAGAGATGTATAAAGGGTCCATCATCTGTGATACCAGCATACAGTATTACTATCAAGTTCAGCAGACGGTTGTTCTGGATGTCAACCGTGAGTTGTCCCTCTTTGTTCAAGTCGTTTTAAAAACGAACACCAAGAGAGATTTACGTGTAAAGCATTAAGGAATAGGGTATTGCATTCTTTTATTTTTATTGGTAGCTTTATTCTCTTTTCAATAAACTTTTATTTTTGTAGTTGCACCATTGACGCCCATCTTTGATGGCTTCACTGGTTTATTTGACGATGGCGATTCTAAACCCATCACATGTCACAGTAACGGAAGCAGACCCGCGGCAAATATATACTGGATGCTGAATGGTGTACGTTTAAACAGTACGTCCTCACAAAGACTCAAAAACGCAGACGATACATACCTTGTCAGAGGAACTTTAATCTGGAAATTAACTAAAGCCATGGAGAACCAGGTTCTCTCCTGTGTCGTCACAAACTCAGTTCTGCAGACGACAACCACACGCAGTCGTAGTCGTTCAGTTGTACTCCTCCCGAACTGTAAGAGTTTTACTGTGACTTCATGTGAAAGATTTGCTCTTTCTTGTAGACTAGTTTCTTTTTTGCAAATGGAAATATTCATATGAAAGAACTTGTATAAGAACGAAAAATTCAACAATTTCATGTTCTTGAACAATAACAACCTGTTAACATTAATTTTACAAGAATAAACAAACCACTTAAACTTCATAGCACATATAATTAAAGTGTTCACAAGAAAAATTGGAATATTTTGTCTACTTTGCACTTGCAGATTCTCCTTCCATATCGGCAGATAACGGTACTCGGACAGTTATAGAAGGGAAATCGCTTGTTCTTCATTGTGTTATTGAAGCCCGACCTCTTCCCCCGGAGTCACAAAAGCTATGGTTCTTCAATGGCCACCCTATTTCAGATTCAAATTACAATAACATCACACGCTTTGATGTATCGTTGTCCATGCTTAGAATAAGCATTTACATCAAAAATATTCATCGGTTTGTTATTTTTATTAAAAACATTCAACATTCCTTTATACAAATCAAATTTTAAAATCATTAGCTTGTTTGTTTCCTTTCAGAAACCAAAGTGGTCAATATAGTTGTCAAGGTTATAACCACCTTGGAGCTGCTAAAAGTCCGGTCATGAATGTACAGACACTGTGTAAGTTTTAACCTAAGTCGCGTTAAAAACTTTGCAATATTCTTATCAATCAAACATTTCAAAGCAATTAATTTATTTTGCAGATAGCCCTATTTGCTCTTTCTCTGGCGTTCAAAAATATGCTGTTCCCATTGGTGGTCGAGTGACCCTCACGTGCCGTGTAACAGCCAATCCAAATAATGTTACTATGAGATGGCGATATATACAGAGAAATGCTCCAATAAAAACAGGACTTCTTGGTGACGTAGAATCTCATACTGTATCTTCAACAACTATTGCAATTGATGTTACGTAAGTTTTCATATACAATCATACTTGTATATGCAAATGGTGTTACAAAATACCAGTATGTCATATAAGCCAATACGAATTTCTCAAATACATATATGGTCAGAAAGTTGTTGACCATAAAGTTTTAAAAAAATGCTTGAAACAGAAAAGCGTCGTTAACATTAAAATGGACATGTTGAAAATGAAACTGAAAAACTTACAGAAAACTAATTAAACGTTTCTAATTACTCTGTTGTACAGTTTAAGCGAATAGACGAAATTACAAATTAAGCAAAATTAATAAACCTCCGGGAAAAAGTAGCTTCAATTCGCTATATGTATGTGTTGCAGATCAACCAGCCAGTACGCAGACATCGCGTGTATTGCAGCCAATATGGTTGGTGATATGTTGTTCCCCTGTCTGTATCGTATCATGGAACCAAGTACGTTTTCTTCCAAGTGGCTTTTACAACACCCCCATTGCTCACTCACTCTCTCTCTCTCTCTCAGTTAATAGGTTACACGTAATTTATTTGCAGGCCCTCCTGAAATCCCCCAAAACTGTTCTTTACACGCATTGAGCGACACGGAGATCCAAATCGAATGTACCCCTGGATTCAATGGAGGCTCCCCTCAGCACTTTCTATTACAGATGCTGGAAGGTTACAATGACAGGAATTTCAACACCATTTCCAACCATTCCACACCGAGCTTTATAGTTCCCGGCCTAACACCGAATACAAACTACACCTTCCGGATGTGCTCGGGGTCTAGTGCTTTTGCCCGCACCATCAGTTGTGGCGGATCCTTGAGGGCCACTACCTTAGCAGCGCGTACGTGATTTCCATTCTGTATTAGAAGATAATTGATCTCTAACATTCTTATGAGTGCAGATTTTTTTATATGTAGATATTTCGATGCCCATTTAATAGCCACAAGCAATGGTTCATTACTTGTCTCTTTCTTGACATTTAATGTTCTTTTTTCTTTTAATATTGATCGGGTTACAATACGTGTCCCATCCAGTAAAGTATGAAAGAAAATTTATTGCCATTTATTGTCCTTTATATTGCTGAGAACAGACTCAACATCTATGCTCCATAATAAAAACGTCTGATTAAAGGAAAAAAGTTACCTTTAATCGAAAAGAACAATACTGAACCTGAATCGGTTTGATTACACATTGACAATATCCTCGGTGTTTGTATTGATATATATTACCTAAAGAATCAGTTCTCATTAAGGCTTGGATCCTTATAAAAATCTGATGTTTTTAGTATTGTTTCTTAAAAAGTTTTGAGGTATAACGTGGTTCATAATGTATGTCACATTTTTCTTTCCTAACATGTTTCCAGAACAAACCGCAGTTTAGTTTAACATTTTGAAGTAAGAGGGAAGTGCAATATGTGATGAAAAGCACGATAATCAGGAAAACTTCAAGAACCGACGATTTTGTTGTTGAAGTGGAAACTCTTTCAGAAAAGTGTCAGATGTTTTCAGAAATTGATGCTTGCAATATCAGCACTTCTACTGTATATTAAACTTTGAGACATGATATATAAGTTTAAGACGTATAAATTCTCTGTAAAGGAACATCTACAATGAAAGATTGATTGTATGTAGTTTAACGTCCCATTCGAGAATTTTTTACTCATAGTGAATCGCCATATATATAGAGTGATGGGCTTCTTTAGACCTGTACTCGGCACTCAGCGCCAATGAGCATTAAGGGATGCTTATTGTGTCAACATCTGTCGTAACACGTAGTCTTATCGGTTTTAAGGTCTCATTCTTAGGATCCTTAACTTTCACTATGACGTGTCGAATAGTTGCTTCCTATGTTCTTTTATCGACTTAGGTCAGTCGCGGTGAAGATTTGAACCCACGACCTTCCAATCACCTCTATAAGGAAAGAGCCTTTAGACTTAAGAGCCTTTAGATTTTTTCCCCTAGCATTTTCCATCCGAGTTTACATCCTTTGATCACAGATACTTAATAAACTCAAACATAACGTAAAAGTCAAAAGGAAGAGAGTCTCAGCAAAATATTGAAAAAAATATCCAAGAAGCAACTTTCTCGTGATCTTGTATTTTTGAATTGGGAGAGATTTTAAAAGAACATTTCGTAATATTAGTTTGTGACGTTGTGAATAGATACAACCATTAATTTGATGACAACAATTGTCTGCACTTTTGTCTTGTGTTTCTCAAATTGTACATTCAAAATGTTATATATTATGAAACAACCTGAACCAGAGAGTATTGTTTTGTGACAACATTATTTTAATTATCCATTGTTTTTCGTAGATGGTGTTGACAAAAAGCGAATATCATCGGCTACTTCAGAGGCTAGCACCACTCCATACATTGTAGGGGGTGTCGTGGGATTTCTCGTTCTAGTGGTGCTGATATCGGTACTGGCCTATTGTCTCCATAAGAATCGAAAGGTTGGTAAAGCAGTTGACGAACCACATTCTCTTTACTCTCAAAACAATAATACCAGCATGCCTTCTATGCCCTCTATCACCGACTGTTTCACGCATGCCCAGTTCCAAAGTGTTGTCAATTTTCCAAAGAGCGCAGACGAAAGTCCATTTCAGCGCCAAAGGTCAGTAAGATTTAACTACAAAGTCATCATGTATGGTTATGACCCTCGACAAACCATTCGAAAATCCTTGAAAACCAAGAAAAAGCTCAATCAAGTTCCAGTGTGATTTACGCCTTGATAATATTTATAATTCTGCACTTCAGTTCTGGGACAACTTTCCATTGCAGTGCCCCGGATGAACCTGCCCTAGTCCGTGTTGCTAAGATAAACGTCGGAAATTCAGAAGTGACACAGCCAATAGATAAAGAATTTCGATTAGTGGGCTACTTTTAGTCCATGATGATCAAGAAATGTGCCAACAAATAATCAGAGTCTTGCCATTTCAATTATTATTTATGACATCTCATAAACTACTTCGAACAATTCAGTTTGGTAGTAATATGTTCCCTTTGTTTTAGATAGTTCTTTACCCGCAGCAGTGCAAAGTGAAGAGAATGAACAAATATCTTAAGAGAACACGTGTGTGAAACTTTTGTGATAATCTCAGTCCACCTGTCAATGCATGTCTCGTAAGCACATCTACACATACTACAGTCTCAGTTGTGAACATTATGTGATTGTACTGATAACTTTTTATGCGCCCGGATTGATAGATCCGGGGCGTATATTGTTTTTGTCCTGTCTGTCTGTCTGTTTGTTTGTTTGTTTGCAAAATTTAACCTTCGCCATAACTTTTGAACCATGAAAGATAGAGAATTCATATTTGGTAAGCATACTCCACTAATTAAGCTCTTTCAAATGACACCAAGGTCAATGACCTTGTGACCTTGACTGTGACCTGTATGCTAAGAATAGTTTTTTCGTACCTTTGCCATAGTTTTTTTAAGCATAAGAGATAGAGACTTCGTCTTTGGTATCCATACTTAACTAATCAAGTTCTTTCAAATGATATATAGTTCAATGGCCTTGTGACCTTGACTGTGACATATATGCTAAAATAGCTTTTTAAAATTTTTGTTGCCGCCGGGCGCATAGTGTTTCACAAACACATCTTGTTAAAATTTATTTTGCATGTTTTTTCACTCATGGCTCTTATAATTTGTTTCCTGATACGTTTTCTTTCGGAAAATCTTTGCAGTTTTGAATATCAATTTACGTGTAAAATATTTTTCATCTTATTTTATATGAAACAAGTACATGTAATAAAGAATATTCTTTTTAGTTTTGTGTTTACAAGAAGCATCTTAATATTTGATTTCCTCCTTTTTCTTCACTGACTGTACGAATGAATAGCATGTGTAACGAGCACTTCTCACCAAAAACACAGTATCTATTTTGTTTGCTATTTCCGATTCATGTTGCATTTTCAGTGAATTAGTTATTCTAATAACATTTCCTTATGTTCTCAAAAAATCGAGTAATTAAAAAGGATACCCTTAAAAGAGCTGCATAATTTACTTTGTATCGGGGAAGTAATAATGTTTTTGACGTGAAATTTAAAACTTCAATTTTATTAAATTCCTGTTCGATGAAATAATTTAAATGTTTTAATAGCGAAGTTTAAATGCGATGTTATATTGATAAATCTTACACCTCTTTGCATAACTGCACAAGTGCTTTGTTCGTGACGTCATGAACAACTAGTTCTAATTACACGACAAGAGGTTAAAACACGCCGCAACATTGATAATAGAAAAAAAGAAGGTTACCGCTTCAAAGACCAAAAAAAAAAAAAATAAATAAATAAATAAAAAAAATCGGTAACTTGGCTAACAGTGCGTAGGGATAGGTCACTGTTAATCATACGATGGGATAAAGGAGGCATCTCATCTTCCTGTTTTATTCCATAAGGTTAATCTATTACCGTCTCCCGACTCGGAGAAAATAAAAGAGTCGGTAGCTGGGTGAGAAAATTCTTTTTTTTCTAAAAGTTTTAACAAATTTGTTGACAGGATATGAAAACACAGGAGGTAAAAAGGTAATCGATGATAATCTTTTCCTTATGGAACGCCAAACATATATTCAAATATTAAATAATTGAACCTATCTTCAAATGAATTAAAGATAGGTACAATTGAATTTGAGATAGGTATAAGATAGGTACAATTGAATAAAAGATAGATACAAATGAATGAAAGAAAGATAAATTTAAAGATAGATACAATGGAATGAAGGGTAGATGTAAAAAATTATACCTATCTCTATAGATAATTAAACCTGTGTACAAATAGATTACACCTATCTTTAATGAAATTATACCAATGTTCAATTCAATTGAAGATGGGTTCAATTGAAATATACCTATCTTCCATTCTTTTAAAGATAGGTACAACTGATTTAAAGATAGGTACAACTGATTTAAAGATAGGTACAACTGATTTAAAGATAGGTACAACTGAAACATATCCACAAAAGAATTACAGATGGTACAATTCAATTGTGCCTCAGTCAGTGTATTCCTTTTCTATTATTGAAAATAATGAAAGCTCCCTTTGACAGCGACTTGAACAAGGGAGAACTATACAAAGTATTTTTACTGGGAGTAGTTGTTATTGTCAGTATCTTAACAATTAAAGATATCATAGGTTCAATTTAATTGCAGGTATCTTTAAATCAATTATATCTATTTTAAATTCCTGTCATATGTACCTATCTTCAGATCAATTGTATTGGGTACAATTAATTGAAGATAGGTACAATTGATCATCTGAAGATGGGTACAATTAATTGAAGATAGGTACAATTTATCTGAAGATAGGTACAATTGATTTGAAGACGGGTACAATTAATTGAAGATAGGTACAATTGATCTGAATATGGGTACAATTAATTGAACATAGGTACAATTGATCTGAAGATGGGAACAATTGATTTGAAGATGGGTACATTTGATCTGAAGATGGGTACAATTGATCTGAAGATAGGTACAATTGATCTAAAGATGGGTACAATTGATTTGAAGATGGGTACAATTGATCTGAGGATGGGTACAATTGATTTGAAGATAGGTACAATTGATCTGAAGATAGGTACAATTGATCTGAAGATAGATACAATTGATCTGAAGATAAGTACAACTGATCTGAACATGAGTACAATTAATTGAAGATAGGTACAAATATTTGAATATATGTTAATATGGCAATTCATATTTCCTGCAGGTTAAAAAGTTTTAAATTTGATCATTTTTTGCCAGTTAGTCGAAAGAGGACAATAATTAATAATTAATTTTTCATAGGTGGACAAATTGGTACAATAATAATATGCTCGATCTTTTTAGGGTATAAAAGTACATGCTATATACACGGTATTACTGACATTTTTTCAATCAATTCCTGATTTTCGAACCTGTGAATCGGACTACCTTAAATTATGAATTGTCAAAAGATTTTTCCGATATTCCCCGATCATGACGAGGAGCACACGGCGGGTGTTACAGGTCGGCAGGGGATGCTCACTCCTTCAAGGTACTTGATCCCATCTCTTATGTTTCGGAGGTCCGTGTTTGCTCTGCTCCTATTTTGTTTTGTTTATTGGACTTTGGACCTTGAATACTTTTCGTTATCTCCATTTATTTCAATTGCAAAGTTACTTTTTACTGTTTGAGCTTGAGACATTTTTATGATCAGTTGGCCCACAATATTTCCGAATATTTTGTTTGCATTGTCATGTTACGGCAATTAACCTTTTTTTTTTTAAACCACGAGTGTATGCAAAGACACAATTGTTAAAACTTATCGTGACACCACAAACAGGGTGTTTCTGAATTGTTTGTAAAGTAGTCAGCAGGCCATATTTAAGAATACGTGTCGACATGCAACATTGGTATTGAACAAACGAAGAAACTCCATTAATAAAAAAACTCGAGCCCTAGAATTAAGGAAATAACCCTAATCTGCATGTTATCACAGAGATCATCTTAAAACAAAAATATCACTTTTGAAATTGTGTTCTTGCAAAAAGAAACTGTTCATCATCTCTTATATTTAACAATAAATACATGTATAATATAATTCATATATAGATAATTTTAAATAGCAAAGAAAAAAAACACAAGCTCAAAGTCCACATAAATAAGTTTTTTTTATAGTAGAACTTGTCAATATCAGTTTATCTTTTCGTTACTAATCTGGTTTAAAATGTATAGATTGTTTCTGCATCAAAGGATATAAAAGAGTTTCTTGGTCATCAGATATGCAGCACAGATGCAGTATCTGGAATTCTCCATTGAAATTCGGATCGACTGGATTCTTGGACTGATGAAGAAAATCACACAGATATCCAACAAATTATAATCCTGGTCATAAATATATTTATTAATTTTTATTAATATTATAATTATCAAATTCATCAATTTTTAAAATTTAGTCTAAAACATTTTGAAAAAATAATTTTAAAAAACGTCAACAAAACAAAAACTTGAATTTTCCAACTTGTAAGAAATGTTTTACTTTTTACTAAATGGGTTACTTTCCATATGCCGTATTCAACTTTGCAAAAATTAAGCCCCCCCCCCCCCCCACCACCACCACCATCACCCCACCGACCGCGCCTTTATTGATATTAAAAAAATATGATGTACGTGCAAAAAAAAACCGTTTTTTTTTAAAGTAGGCATTTAATTATTATTTTTTTTTTACAATAAAAACTTCAGACTCCTGTGATATCACGTATGATGTACGTGCAGTAAAGTAGGCATTTAATTTCGTCGATCACTAGGTGAGGATAGGTGTGTATACACATGTATAATGTCGCCAATGACAATATTTATACAGGATGTAATAGTTCATAACACTTTGCAAATCGCAAACAGTGTACTATCGGTGATACTGTGTTAAGAGTTCATCATAAGGCACTATCTGCCACTTCCCGTGACATCCTTATTTCGTCGTTATATTTATGACAGGCTTGAGATTTTGGCATACGCAATTTAATGCAACATTTCTATATGGTTATAAACCTAAAATATGCCCTATTAGGTAATAATAACAGACCATCCCTTATCATAGCAGAGTAAGACGAAAATGCACAATTTCCCCGGATTTTTATTACAGAGGGCTAGAGCGACAGTACCAGGAAAGAGAGGGGAAGAATATAAAGGGATTGTGTCTTCTTCTTTTTTTTTAAAGAATGTGTCATCTTGCAATTATTTTTTTACCCTTAAAGAGAGAATCAAGAGTGTTTCTTACAACTGAGTGAACGATGGTTTGAAAAAAAATATCACCGTGAATTGTAATTTAAAATTTTATGCTTATGGGTTCTTTTTTAAGCGAGCTTATCATCTTTACATGTCAAAATAGCGGACAGAAAAAATAGTTTAGCTTGTTGTACCTGTCATAAAACCTAGGAATCAGACCAGACTGATAAAATGTACTTCATGATTAATGAGTTCCGGGGATCCCTCTACCTGGAGATCGATCCTGCATTTTTTCAGACTTTTTGTAAAGAGAAAAAACAATATGTTCAATTATGGTAACTTTATAATAATTATAGGTTAATAAATTCAGATCCTGCTCGAAGTTATGTTCAAAAGTACATTTATTTCAAAGATATCGAATAAATAACTTCATATTCGATCAAAATTGCTCAGGACATAATGATATTTTATTACCTAATCAAGTGAATTTTGTTATTTTATTAGAGATTAAATAATTTCAAATAACTTCAAATTCGGTCAAAATTGCTCAGAACATAATGATATTATTTATTATATTTTATCACAGCGAGGCGGAAATCCTTTACGTTCAAACCAAATACCCTGGAGGACCAGTGATTGTAAGTAGTGGCATTAATTTCTTTATATTAAGTCCCCATTTAAACAAACATTTTCATGTACAATTTTTCTTATCTTAAAGGGTTCAAAAATACAGAAAGTAGTTCTACAAGTGTCGGTGTTAAACCAGGGATTCAGAATTCTGCGTTTGTGGAGGACACGGTCCATTTGGAGAAAAATAGCAATGAAAAAGAACATAGAATACAAGAAGAATCGATATATCGGTTAGACAATGCAAAACTCCGCAATCTAGAGGAAAAGGACTCCATTAAGCTTTCAAAGGCCAATGCTACAACCCTTCTGGCTTTATCTCGAGAATATAACGCTAATGAATCTGGAGACAAAGTTGATAAGATTGACTTTGGTTTCCTTGGCGACCAAGTTACTGATCTTGATGAATTGTCTAATCCCAGAAGTCCTGGATTGATGCTAACTTCCGGAAGTCCACATCGTGATTTTTCTTACAGCAAAACAGATTTAGATTTGAAATCTCCGCAAAGTAAACCTCAATGTCCAGAAACCCTGGACAATAATTTTGATACAGAAACGAAGCAGAAGTCATTATGCACTCATTCACTGAATGACCTTCGATCCGGTTCTGTAGCACATAAACAGGATTACATCAAGCTGTCCTACACGGAGCCGGACTCTGGTGATCCGCAAAATCAAGTGTCTGCTTCAGAAGGAGAGATTGATGATTTGAAGAGAACATTCATATCTAGATATACACTAGAATTTCTAAGGAAAGACGATAATGGTCCATCGAAAACTCAAAATAGCCCCGCTTCATCCACTAGTAATATATCAGGCGTGGATAGTTACGGTGGAGCGCCCCGCAGACAGAGCTATACCTTGGCGATAAGCAGCGATGAGGAGGGGAACACTATGGTTAGAGACGTCCTCTCTGCATCTGTCAACATCTCATCTTCAATTTACGACATTCCCAGAAACAGTGGAGGGTTTGAGGTGGAAGTGGAATCCGCAGTGGCAGTGCCTGCAGAGAAGGATTTAGTGGAAGAGGAATCGCCAAATAGTGATTCGAGGCCAGACAGAGAGGTCATAGCGATGCTCTCACCAAATGAGGGATTGGAGGGAGAAAAGAGCGACATACTCAAACATAAAACGTCTCCTACACCGACATCAGACATCCCCGAAGATAATGAATTTGGAAAAAGAAAAATTATCAATTTAGAACTGAGTGAAAACTTGGTTGAAAAGAAATCCCATCAAACTAACCCAGATAATTCAAGTTCTTGTGGTGCTTATTTCTAAAATAAGAATTGTAAAAAAGAGTAATGTCCATTGGTCTCTTTAATAGTCAGACGTACCCTATCTATCTAATTAATACGAATACATGTGTAGGTTTGTTCCACATCTGTTGCCTTTAGCATACACAAATGTTAATATTGTCTTTTATTAATTGTACATTTGATTTCCTTTCACATATCACAAAGGCCATGATTTCATCGATTAATCAATAATGTCGTTGTTAGGAAGCATCAAATTACTAACTTCTCTCATAAACTTAGCCTTTGTGTTCTCCATTCGTTTATACCTGAACAACCAGGGAGTGATCCCAGCTGTTAATTTGATGTTTGATTAAAAATATTGACATGAAAGTTACAGATATCACAGTAATTTTTTATTTCTCTCTGTCGTCATGGTAACCCGCTCGTTAATATTTCACCTTGATTGTGCAAGACTGTCATAGTCACTACATCAATAAGGTAAATCTCATTTACACTGTCAGCGTAGGTACGTTTTCACCTTTTGTTATATTTTTTTCTTCGCAGTTGACAACCTCGTCACGATTCTCGGGAGAATTTTGGAGAATTTGATATCTTCGACACGAAAGAAGATATAAGAATAAAAGTATCTCTTAGGATACATTTACCTATTTGAGATGTGTGGGTACAATCTTTCTAACCCTGTCATAATTCGGCTTAAATACCGGTATTTTATTCATGCAAAGGAAAACGAATCTACAAAATACTCTGCACTGAATAACAATATAAAATGGCACGAAGTCAGTGTTTTTTGCGTTTTCTTGCACAACATTGAGGTTATAGGATACTCAAATAAAAGTCATAAAAATTGTTAAACAGCTGTTACAAGGACTTTTATTGTTTTACAAATATTTACGAAGCTTTTTTAAAGCCGTCAAAATTCTTGCACTCTTCCCAGACCTTTTCTGTGATCACACAGCTATAAAATCAATCATAACTGCTAGTTAAATACATGTATATGAATACATGCATCATGTTTTTGCATTGAAGTTTAAAAACATACTAGTAACACATTTTATGATGCAGTGTTGCTTACCAGTTTCTAATTTCTAAAAATGATAATTTTAATCAAAATCACTTTAGCATACTATTAAAAAATAATAATTTTTTCAACATATTTCCATCATATATCTGCTCAAATATCTCCCTTCCGATTTTATAAAAAAGACAATAATTAGTACAATTTTTTTTTGGCAATGGTACAATAATTTTGATGTAATACCGGTATGACAACATTTTTAGTTCTTTTCCTGTATCGATTCGTGGGTGATGATGGATGTGTACCTACAATTTGATCACAAGGAGTAGGACTGTACGTAGATAATTGACAATCGATCGGGACAATATGTTTCCAGTCTACAAAGTATAATTTAACAAGATGTGTTTGAGATGTTGCCGTATGGCAACTTTTGGCGAGGACTGAAATTTCTCAAATGCCAGTTAACCCCAAGGTCAAGAGAAAAAGGTCAAAACTGTTGGTACCCAAAGGAAGGTCTTCACAGAAGGAACATACTTGTGAAATGCGAAAGCCCTAGTACTCACGGTTCAAAAGTTAGGGCCAAGGTTCAAGTCTTTTTCAAGTGGGTCAAAGTCTAAGGTCACGGTCAAAATTAATGGTATCTAAAGGAAGGTCTTATCACAAGAAATATACCTGTGAAATATGAAATCGCTAGCTCTTATGGTTAAAAAATTATGGTCAAGGTTAATCTTTTTAAAAAGTAAGCCTAACTCTAAGGTCAAATGTTGAATATTCTTATACCCAATGAAAGGTTTTGTCACAATGAATATACATGTAAAGTATGAGAGCCCTGACAGCAACTATTCATAAGTCTTGGCTATTCCTAATGTTCGGAATTTTTTTGATAAAAGTGGGTCAAACTCCAAGGTCAAGGCCATGATGTCAAATTTGCTGGTACCAAAAGAGAAGTCTTTTCACAAAGAATATATCTGTGAAATATTAAAGCCATATCCCCACTCACTCAAAAGTTATCGACAAAATTTAGGTTTTTGCGGACCAATGACAAACAGATAAACAGACAGACAGACATATAGACAGACGGACAGGGCAAAAACTATATTCCCCCGAATCTTCGATTATGGGGGCATAACAATCAACCATAGAAAACTCAAAAGGGTATTAGTAGTTAAAAAGTAATAAAACTAATGAAATTTGTTTTAGGGTTGACAACAAATGCAACTTTAGCTGTATTTTGAAAGATGACAATTTTAATTTTACAGTTTAAATAACCAATTTAAATAACCAATTATAATAATCAAATTTTTAGACAAATGGATATTTAAGCCTTTAAATTTGTGTGGTTTCAGTGCTCTATCGGCTTAGTTATTGTGCTTATTGCAAACTTTTGACCCTTCGACTCAGTCTTGAAGATTCAATGAGAAATCTATTTATGGTTTATAAAGTCAAATCTTCGAATGCGCACGCAACGTACTGCGCTGGGTGGCATTTTGTTAGTGGAGATGCCACTATTGCGCCTTTGTCATAACCTAAAAGGCGTACTGATTTGTGTCAAATTAGCATGACCTAAAAAGTTCCTCTATCCCAAAGTGCACCTTCGGTTAAAGAGCTCAGCTAACTCAGGAAGATCTAAGATATCTTTCTGTATTCTGTTGAAATGTTTCTGTTTCAAGTGTAAAAAAAAAAATACACATGTATACCGGGTAACATTGTTTCATCAGGATTTATGTAAAAATTCCATTGTTTTATAATAATGTGGCCCATTTCACCAGAAGGTACATTCCAATTTTCACCGAGGGTTCAAAGGCGTTATTTGAGATAGGTCAGGTTATTGACCCATAATGTTCACAATACCTTGAGATCTGATTTTTTTAAACGAAGTAACTAGGGCTTGGAATTTGAGACTAACATTTATGATGTTAATATTGCGGCGGATTTCCCATAAATTACTTATGCGCTGGTTGTTGACAAAGAAGGGATGGTTTTGTCCATTCATGTTTCTAATGCGAATAATTCTGAGAATATTCCACGGGTGACATTGTCAAGTTGACAAGGCCACCATTTGATTCAAATAGTTTCATTCCGCACGAACGACAAGGTTTCTCAATGGAACTGCACTTACATGACCAAAGTGTAAATTATTAGGTATCTGGGGAAGAACCGCATTGCTTTGCCACCATACTAGAACTGCGTCACCAGACTTTGTCTTCACCCTGGGATTGTGTGACCAGACCCATTAACCCACACTTCAGCAGGAATGACGACTTTTAAAAAAATCTTTAAAGGGCATTTATGGTCAATTGCTTTTGATAATGCTCAGTTTAGCCTTTATTCATATAACACTAGTTTGTCACTCAGCATGTGATACTGAGATTTCATTATAGAACAAGATGTCTTGTTTAAGATAAATGGCCACAGAATTTTAATAAGTCCTTGACATAGTTATGTAATTCTATATACGATATGCTTTTAAAAAATATAAATTTGTAATTCAATGTCGAACCAATCATTTTTTAAAACTATTTTGAACTCCTTTAAAAGTTCTGCAATTGTTATTTGCAAGATTTACAACTCGGATCTATAACATCAGAAGAAATACTAATCACTGATGGTGATTTGACACATTATTTAGTGTGACTTATCATCACTGTTTTACTTATTGTCTAATACTTTTAACATTACTAACACTCAAAACAATACAAACAACAAAAAGCATAATCGTATTATTGCAAACACTAAATTGTATGAAATTCTGGATCATTCAGTTTTTTTGCTGTGAATACCTGACAATACGAGGGGCGTTCAATAAATAATGTCATTAGCTCGATGACATACAACATAGTAGTCATATGACATAAAGCTTGACTTTCTCTCATTATTGAATCTTTAATGAATTTATAACAGTTTATGTGACCACTTTTCATCACATAGTTTTATCGTGAGAAGCTGGGAAACAAGGGCTATTCGAAAGCATTATAAATGAATGTTAAAGAATCAGTAAACTAAAGTGAAAATAAAAGTACATTAAAGCTGCTGTAAAACTTGTAAAAAATCCCAAAGAAATATTCACTGAAATATGTGATATTTACAGTGTGTTTTACAGAAAAATTAGCAGGTGGATTTCAATGATAAAAAATTATATAATGGGCATCAAAAATGGGTACCCTCCTTGCCAACAAAAATTATAACAACTTATGTACTGTTTGCCAAATTTCAACAAATAATAGTTGATCTTGTATGAATGACTTTAAGACACATAGCAAATTTGATAGACATCATATCGGGAACACTGTTTTTAAGAAACGTTTGACAGTAATTAAGCTTGGTACTCTAAGGTCACCCTGTATTTTGAAAAATGAGTGAAAACAAGCCTGTACACAACAATTATTTTAAAATATCAGTAATTGTAGTAATCCACGTTTGTTTTTTATTCAACAGATATTGCATGAATCTATTGCTTAAAACCATTAAAACAAAATTTAACATAAGATGTACTTGATAAAAACGGCGAAGGTCTGTCAAGAGCAAAGGTCTGCAAGAGCACAGAAACAGATTATTATGCAATTTTCTTAAATATGAGTGGTATTATTGTTCAAATTCGTACTCGGGGAGACAGTTTAATATCTGGAGGTGTCTACAAAGCAGTTTTTTTTGCAAGGAAATCGGAAGGTTTATCAGAGAAAGGACCCAGAATCAGGAATCAACTACATTGGATTTCTTCATGACAGCGTTCAAACCCGCATGCCCTAAAGAGTAAAGGGGTTTACGGGATAAACAGAAAGTTAATGTTTTTTCACATTAACAATATTTGCCAGATCTTTGAATCTTTTTCCAGTATACTAAGGGTTATACCCAAAAATGAGTTCTAAAAACAATCAGAAATTGGATAAGAAATGTTACGGACATGTGTTGGAATTAAAAGAGATTAATAAGTAAAACCATGAAGACTAAATCATTGAAAAGCGTCGTTTGCTTCTTTCTGAGCCCCAATGACATTATTTATTGAACGCCCCTCGTAGTACGAAATGTTCCGGAAAAGTGTACGATGTGCGAGCCCGATTTGGGAGTGTCACTGACAATCAGTCAGCGTTTTAGAGAGAACATTTATTGTTAACTGTACGTGCCAGACTTGTCGTCGAAATAATAAAGTTTTCTCAGACAGGAGAACAAACACATTCTGTCCTTCAATCGTTTGCGGGAAATATTGTTATAAAATCGAGGTAATTAAAGCCATACTCAGACTTTCGGTGTAAAGTTTATTTTTTTTTTATTAAAATTTCGCTTTGTATTGTGCCTGTGTTGTAGAGCAAAATCTTTTCCAACGCAAATTATACCCTAGGCTAATCCAAACACCAAATGAATGGTCTCAAGGAAAAAAAATCATTTCCCGTTTTCTAGATAAAAAAAATTGGGTTTCCCTTTAGATATACGTATATATGTTTATTATCTTCTAGTAAGTAAATCATTGAGTGCGCTGAATGTCACTCGACAGTTATTCTTTCCGGTTGAATGTTTAAACAGATTTTTATTAAAATATACACGCCAATGAATCAAAATCTTTTGAAGTTGTCAATATAGAAATGGGCCACAATTTCTTTTGTTATTATTGACTTAAATAAACATGGAAAAAATTCATGAGAGCCTATCCAGAACACTGCAGATCACATTTGAATCTCATTTCTGAACAATGTCGAGTAATTTTATGAAAAACTTAAGCTGGCTCCATGACGTCAAGGATTTTGAGGCATCGCTACTAGGAGTCACGGGGGGGGGGGGGGGGAATGAAAACAAGATGTTTGTGAAACACTAATGCCCCCGTATGGCAGATTATGGCGAGGGTTGAATTCTTTCAAATGCATGTCAACCTCCAAAGGTCAAGGTCAAAAGGCCAAAAGTGTTGGTACTCAAAGGAAGGTCTTGTTACAAGGAATATACCTGTGAAATATGAAAGTCCTAGTTCTAACTATTCAAAAGTTATGATCAAGGTTAAAGTTTTGAAAAATTGGGTCAAACACCTAGGTCAAGGTCAAGAATATTTACACCAGCTGAAAGGTCTTGTCACAATCAATATACATGTAAAGGATGAACGCCCTAGCTTCATGTTCAAAAGTTATGACCAACGTTAAAGTGTGGTATTTTTTTGTAAAATTAGGACAAAATCCAAGGTCAAATTTGGTTGTACCCAAAGAAAGCCCTTGTCACAAGGAATACACCTGTAAAATATGAAAGCCATAGCCCCACCCATTCAATAGTTATGGACTAGGTTAACGTTGACAGACAGAGAGACAAATAGACAGGACAAAAACAATATATCCCCGGGATCTTTCGATCCTGGGGCATAAAAAACGCTATTTAGTTTACTATGAATACGATTAGACTGAATATCAATTATCTGGGCCTGGAATACAGTTGTCCTTTTCGTTTATATAAACAATTTTTTTTTCATTAGGTTGTTAGAACAGGAATTAATGTTGCAGAAAAATACTTTACGCGGATTGTAAATGCATTATTTTCTGCAATAGTAACGGTAATTCCCTTACCAGCATTAAAAAGACATTTTATTGTTTATATCTGTATAAAATAATAATAATAATAAAAAAGTAAAAGTAAATATGTAAATACGTTGAATAATATATTATTGAAATGTAAATGTACATCATGTATATATGTTTCATTGATACTCAAGAAATCGCTTGGCGAAGTTTACTGCATGATTGATAAACAACAACACTTTTCATACGAAATAGAGATAATATTTAGTGGGTGTAAATATTACATTCTTAACCGGGCTTCACAAATCATATTCTATGTAAATATGAATTAATGCCAAAATAAATACTAAATGTGTTATATTGAGCGTTTCCAGTAAAATATTAAATATTCATTAACAGTGTGAAAGAAAGATGAGAATTTTCCAATAATAAAGTGTTTCGAATTTCGTCGTAAATTTAAAATCCTGCCATGATCCTGTTGGGTCACATTGCTTGATGTTAGGCTAATAATTTGCCTTTTCTTTGTTTAAAAAGTTATTTATATTCAATTTTATAGACATAGAATATACACTTTATCAAATTCGACCAAAATTTATAGTATTTTTTCCACTTTATATATCTTCTATGAATCAAAATCAAATCTAGGAAATTTTTATCCCCATAATTCTTCTAAGGATCCAATGGATCAAATGTAAAATTTGGCTAAAAATTGTTTCACAAACGTTTTCCATGCAGAAAATATTTCTTTGTGAGATGTATAACCCCTGCAAGCTATCACTTTGGAGTCTAGGTCTTTGCAATCCTTGAAGGAAAACAAGACATTGTTCATCTGTGGAAGAATATTGAGTTTCATTGCAACTATCCCAATGTATGAATCGTCCACTGTAATGTATTTCACATATGGAAACGCTATCACAAATCTTTGCGCAACATCCATGCTAACAACATAAGCACCTCCTGCTAAATATGGCGGATAGATTCTATTTGGATAATCTTCTTTCCTCACAAAATGTGGACTTGCTGGGTGGCGCATAACGGGCGCTTTGTCTACTCTATATCCCACTAATAAAGACTGAGGATGTTCATGAGATCCTAGAAATTTAAGAAGATTTTTGACATTAAAATGAAAGTCATCATCCTTGTACAGAATGTGAGTAGCATTCGGGCAATATTCTACAGCCCAGTTATATCCCATGACAGTCTTAATAGTCAAATTCTTATACGAATCTACAAAATCCTGTTGAACAAGATCTCCGTACATTGCATTTTCAACCATGGTGTTCTTATTCAATTCTTTTTTTGAAGTACCCATCAAGAATACAATTCGAACATATCCTTTTTCAATGGGATTCTTCTCCATGGACATTCGTAGAGTCTGTCTCAAGTGAAAATTATCTGGCGCACTTTTGATGAGTATTAACACAAACAAGGAGTTATTCTGAGGAGGAGGTTCCTGACAAATATTGGAGGGATTCAAAATGTATTTATATGGATGGCGATTAAGAGGTTTTAATGGAATGCTTTGTCCACTTTCCTTCAACACGAGTAATTCTTCAAAGTTCACGTTATAAGGATGTGATATATTGTAAGGATTATTCGTATAATTCTGTAATAGCTGCGGTGCTTTAGTAATCTCCTTTTTCTCAAGAATTATCTGAACTTCCGGTTGTTGGTTAAATAATAAGGTGAAGATGAACACTAAAAATGGTGGAGCTGATAGGCTCAGAATCACGGGCAGACGACACAGCGCATACTTCCACCGGCGCCGCATTGTTAACTGTAAGAGAAAAAGAAGGGGATCGTAAACATGTCATGGAAAATGCAAAATAGTCAAATGAAGGAATTTCTAAATTTACAGCTCTGACATTCTTTACCATAAATATAACAATCATTCCTTATACGTTATTGAATTTTACTCCTCAAATTTAAAAGATAAATTTAATTTTTTTATGAAGTAAAACTGTTAATTTTGCATCATTCTTGGAAAGGAGAGAATGCTTTGGAGCTGATATATAGACTTTCGTCGCATTGCAGACTTGCGAAAGCGAAAGTGATTTATTGCATAATTTTTAAAGTGTTGAATAAACTAAATGTTTAATTCTACAGTACTAATAATTTTGAGACTGGGATTATGTAATTATGATAAAATTTGCTGAATAAATAAAGACAAATTCATGCAAACAAAACACTGCGTTATTTTCAAGAAAAGTAGGGCCTTGGTTTGAAATTCAAGAAATATAAAATAAATGTTTTCACATAAGCTTTGTTCAAATTTCACAACCAACCAAACAAAATGATGAGAGGCCATTTTTAGGGACCCCTTGTCTACACAAGAGATTCATTGGAATTTTTCTTGTTCTAAAATCCTTTGGTCTTCCACGTTCTGAGATACGGTTCAAGATTTTTACAATTTCCTGCAATGCGTTCTTCTCAGACGATACCACCGGGTTTTAAATTTCTGTACATATAAGGTAAATCCGTTCTTTTATTAACCTCAGCTCAAATTCTCAAACTGTGCAGCACAAACAAGATGTGACACGGAGCGCTCTGCATTGTTTGTCTAAGTACGAGGTAATGCAACCTTCAGCAATTTACCGATATTTGTAAAGCCTACGTGCTCAAACCTCATAAAGACTATCATTTTCATCCGAAAAATTCCAAAACTCTGAAAGAAAGGACACACAAGAAAGGGGGATATTCTATGCATAGTATATAAGGAGGTCAATTAGACACTTGCTTATTCATTTATACAGACAGGGAAAAACAGAGTTCTCGGTGCCATAGTTTTTCTTTTCTTTTTTTTTCTTTTCTTTCTTTTCTTTTTTTTTTTTTTTTTGAAATCCTTGTTATCTTGAATCGCCCTACTTCTGCAAATTAAATTATCTTCACAATAAGAAAAAAAAAAAGCTTTAAACAATATCAGTGTTTTTTATTGATCTTACGATGAGCCTTTTCAAATATTGATGCTCGTATATCTTTGTAAGATAATTCGATATCATACTTTGGTGAATCCAAAGGATCATTTCTGGGTAATTGAAAACATGCCCGGAACTTTCACACGTTGTGATTTCCAACTGGAATGAACTGCTTTACCGTATTAAAATCAACAAAACCCACCTGCGTTTTATCCCAGTAATCTAGTTATTTTGTTATTTCCCTACAACACTAATAGTAGCTGCAGAACTGTAGCGTTATGGTTTGTCCTTGACTTTGGTCATTACCCGGTTATGGTCTAAGACAAATATATAATACCGTATTAACGCTACAGTTCTAATGTATACACTAAAAGCTAAAATGCCTAGACCATTCAAGTTTATTATTGTAGTAAGTCAATTTTGAATTGAAAACAGAAAGCGACGAACGTTCTTAGAATCAAAATTGCATGGTAGATGCACAAAAAGCCATCTCTGATTTAAATAATATTTAAATATGTGATTTCTGCAAGATTTTACATGTTATTTAAAGGCATTAAAATTACTGTCAGTTAAATCATTATGATTTCGACCCAATTGCCTGGAAAGGTTTACTTTATCTTTGACATTTCTTAATTTTAAGACCTGTCATGTCTTTAAAGAATACTAGTAATACAACAATTTTCAGCAGGAGATCACGTTGGATCACACCTGCTTGTAAATGGAGTTTAAAAAACGTAAACCGTTACCTATTTTAAAGAAAAGAAATGTATGTACATGCATAGTATGCATGTTGTATAAATTTATGATGCAATTTCATAATAACAAATGTAGACAAAGAAAAATATAATACCACAACCCCTTGAGAAATCGTAAAGCAGCAATATTTTCAAAAGTATGAATTGGTTTACTTGTATTGTTTCATCAATAAAAAACACTCATCACTTTCCTTCATTAAAACATTCCATCGTTTTGTGTTCGTGTAGCACCAATGCATAATGTATGAAACTGAATGTTTTTCTGTCTGTGAGGTAAAAATGTCCTTTTCACCTTTGGTTATTCAACTCTACAGCCAATTAACCTAGGTCTCTTTCTTTGACCACCATGCAATTTTGTGACAAAGAGACGAATTCGTCCAATAACACATACTCGTACTCCTTTAACTGTGTCAACCTTGAATACTATGAGCAGATTTAAAATTATTTGTTATTGCACTTTCTTTAAAAAATTAGTAAAGTCATTTTATTATTATACTACATGTAGTTGTTTTTATATACATGTATTTACAGTCAACGATGTCATTTGATATTAATATATGCACATTTGGCATAAACAAATTAAGCAAGGTTGCTTTGATCTGATATTCTTGAATGATTCATTATTCATTGCGTTAAATGTTTGGTTAAAACATAACTAAAATAGTATTTAAATAAACATAGATTACTTGGACCACAGACTACGACGGCGTATTCGTGCCATTTTAACAATGTAGAAATTTTTTATTAAATCGTTTGTACGATTTAGTAAATCGTTTGTACGATTTACAAAATCGTTTGTACGATTTACTAAATCGTTTGTACGATTTACTAAATCGTTTGTACGATTTACTAAATCGTTTGTACGATTTAACAAATCGTTTGTACAATTTAGTAAATCGTTCGTACGATTTAATAAATCGTTTGTACGATTTAATAAATCGTTTGTACGATTTACTAGATTAAATCGTACAAACGATTTTAAATTGTACAAACGATTTATTAAATCGTACAAACGATTTACTAAATTGTACAAACGATTTATTAAATCGTACAAACGATTTACTAAATCGAACAAACGATTTACTAAATCGTACAAACGATTTATTAAATCGTACAAACGATTTATTAAATCGTACAAACGATTTAAAAAAATATTTTTACATTGTTTAAATGGCACGAATACGCCGTCGTAACAGACGCATACCTGGTTTGATAATTCGTATTGACCTATTTTATAACTTCCAAAGATGTGACGATCTAGATAAATCAGTACAAAATTAATGTCGAGTTTTTAAATTGCACAATGGGAAATAACATGCTGATTTTTGCTAGAAATTTAGATGAAATTCCTAAAAAAAAAAACTGATTAAGGAAACTAACGTCAACAAAGAATAGAGATTAAAACTTTTGGTAAAATTAAACATCTGTATTGGTAAATATAGGTGAGAACAACAAAGTGGTACAATATAATAATAGAAAATTATACATTTCTTGCAATCTGACAAGGTATTATATACATATTTCATTAATTATAATATTCAGTGGCAGTTTAAACGTGGCAAGTTATAACATTAATTAACATTACTACAGATTTATGTTAACTTTTAGAATAGCTCGATTGACAAAGTTTTTCCAGTCCTTTAGAATTTCATTTGTTGATGTATAACCTCTACAGGATATGACTTTATCTAGACTATTACAGTTTTTGATCGTGAAGCTCGGCTCGTTATTCAGAGTAATGTCTAACTTCATTGCAAGAACACCTATGTATGTGTCCGCCATGGGTACACTCTTCACAAATGGAATAATTGTCACAATTCTTTTGGCAAAATACATACTAACAATGTAACTATTTCCAACTAAAAATGGTGGATAGATATCATGTGCATAAACGTCTTTGCCCACAAAATATTTACTTGTTGGTCTTCGTACAGTTGGTGATTTCAATCGAAGAATTCCCGCGAAAATTGAATTTGGGTCTTTATGTTTTTTGATATAGCTGTCCAAATTTTTCACATTAAAATGATAATCATCGTCCTGAATAAGAACGTGCGACGCTTCAGAACAATATTGCACAGCCCATTTGTAGCCCATCACAGTTTTATGGGTCAAATTTCTATATTTGTCAATGAAATTCTGTTGTACAATATCATTGTAACGCGCATGCTCCACCAACACATCCGTATTTTTATCTTCCGGGTTAGAGGAAACTCCCAAAAGAAACACAATTCTTATATAGTCATGATATTGTTTTTGGGCTTCCCAGTTCCATCGTATCGTCTGACGAAGATGAAAATTATCTGGTTCGCTCTTTATGAGTATTAAAACACTTACGTTCGCACTCCTTTTTAAGGGCGGATTTGTACACTTGGTGGTGGGGTTCGTCACATACACAAAAGAATTTACGTTAATGGGTTTCAGGTTAAAACTTTTCCCTTCCTCTACTTTGTTAACAAATGTCACAAAATCAATATCATATGGATGAGTGAGAAAACGTGTAAAGTTGTATGATGATTTATTATAGAATTTAAGGATGTCAATTTCTGTTGTCTCTATTTTTGGTTTTGGAGTCGTCTTTGTGGTTGTCGGACTTAAGGTTGTAACTTCCGGTGGTATTTGCGACTGATGCATTTGCAGCATAAAAACTACGACAGTTGTCATAGCAAAGTAAAGAAACAGCTTCCATATTGGGACCTGAAGTCTTCTGGTGAAACAGGAAGTAAGCGAATTCCTGAAAAATACACTCCATTATAAAAGAACAGTTCATTCATTTTTTTGTCAATTAATTTTCATCAGGTGAAAAAAAAATGAATGGTTACATTTCTTACTTTAATTGAATGTTTTGCTTTTGTTTTTTATGATACATGTGTACATGTAATTTTATTTTAATCTGTGGATAAATTCTTTTTCCATTGACAAAGTAGGCCTTACCTAGAACTGTGCTTGGTAATTTTCGTGTACTTCATTCTTTCTCTCACAGACGCTTTGGGATAATCAGTGACCTAAAACCGAACCGGTTAAAAATGTATCAAAAGTCACTGAGGTACAGAGGCACCTGTAAAAGTTCACAGACAAGCTTTGGTTGCCACGGTTATAATACCCTGGTC